GAGGGGCGAGGGCCGGCAGGGACAGGGTTAAGGCGTGTCCCCAAGGAGGGGAGCAGAGGCTCTGGAGCTCCACCAGGCCGGGCCAGAGGTGAGCGCTGCCAGGAGGAAATTGCTGCAGCTCCACCGAGATCACGAGCGACCTTTCCTCTTGGAGAGGGGTGAAGTAAACAACACTTATCTCGGATTTAGTGCAGTTGAGACAAGCAGCACTTTATCTCTGTTCTGCGGCACACGGAGCAGGGAGGCAGAGGGATGATTTTCCTGCTTTTATGGTGTAAGCAATCTCTGCTTTCTTAGCCCGCTCTCAAGTTGAGCTGTAACACCTCCTCATGGAAAGATCTTGGCCAGGGCAGCAGGTTACGGGCTTGCACAACGTGCCATAAACCTCCTCACGCAGTTCAGCCTTTCGCAAGTGCAGTCTGAGCTCTCCTTGGTGGGTTGATATTTTTACTCCATGAAATTTCCACATCCTCCATACCGTTTCCTTTCAGAAGGTATCATGGGACATGCAATCCCTGATCTTTCTATTTTGGATTTTTTTCCATCCATAGACATAAATCCTTCTCTTTCCCTCTACACACATTTTCAGATTCCAGCAGAAGGAAATCTGATGGGCTTTTTTTGACAGTGCATTTCTTGTGTCTATCATTTTTACTACATGAATGATACCTGAATACCTTATATGCTGCAATGGTTAGAAATTTTCCATCAGGTTCTTCCTAAATAGCCCAGTACTCAGAAGATCTATTCCCCTTTACTGCCAGAGTGAGAACTTCTGGAAGCCCAGCTCCCAAATCCAGCTGTGCTTAGGGACACACGCCTCAGGCGTGGGTTATTTCAGCACTGTCACCCACAGTCTGCCATCCTGCAGTCCCCTGAGACCTGTGTCCCATCTGCTTTTCCTGAAGTCAACATTCAACTCCTACAAGTAAGTATTAAGTAAGTGACTCCTGCTGAATAATTAACTGTTTCTGGGAAGCTGTCGGGCTCAGCCGAACAGCCAGCACGTGGCTTCAGGAGACACGCAGACACTGTGCCCCTTTGGACTGCTCTTCTCCACCCCTGGATAAGCTGGATAACTGGTCACAGCCCCTCCGAAGGCTGAGACACTCCACAGTCCATGAGCACCCTTCAGGTGCTGGCTGGGAGTCCCCAGGGGAGACCCTCAGTGAGCGATAAATGGACGAGGCACCTCTGCTTCCATAAACTCAGCAGAACTCCAAACCTTTGCAGAAGTTGATCCGTGGAAAGCAGTTTGAAGGATCCAGACTTAGGAAAAGACTGGCATATAGCAGGAATTCAGTACTAATTGTACGGTTTTGAGTCAGAAGCAGCGCTTTGCAGGAGCAGGGATCCATGCCTGTGTGCCCTATAGGAAAATAAAACTATAAAACTCAGAGCCCAGCGGGAAAAGTCTTTTCCACACGTCATATCAGGACAGAGAGGGCAGAGCCTCATTTCCCTAGGCTGGCACAGCACCAAAGCCCTGCCAAGCACCTGCAACTAAGCCAGGAAGCATCAAGTGAGCTGATATTCCAATGCAGCAGTAAGGAGTTCGTGTGCCTTAATGCACGTGTTGGACCAAGGATATGCAAGGGGACACAAAAAGCAACTTCCTAAGTACAGTTTGAAGCCTTCCTAAGTACAGTTTGAAGCCTTCTTAAGTACAGTTTGAAGCATTTGGTTTGAAGGACAAAAAGTCAGTACCGGCATCCTACGCTAAGGAAATCATTCTCTCACCTGCAGGTTATTTAGGAGGCAAGTCTCCTGTATTTACTTTTCCCCTGCCCTTTTTCCTGGGCTCAGTATAAAGTGTTACATTGACACAAGTAAGCGGAGAAGTTCCGTAATTTAATCTGTGCCATTAAAATTTCAGGCTCCACGGGAAAAGCAATCCTGCCTGTTCATCAGGTCCAGTGAAATTCGTGTGGCCGGTGTCACCTTTCCACAAACTCCGCAGCAAGAGGCACTTCCCCACCCCTGCCAGCCCTCACTGAGGGCAGGTAAGGAAACAGGATCATCCCCGCCAGCATGACCCCATTCCTTACTCCCTGAAGGACCAGGCTGCTTCCCAGAGGGAGGAAGGAAAGGCCTGAGCCATGCAGTTCAGGGGTAGCGTGCAAACACGGATTAATAATTCAGGCTATTCTATTTTGGACCGGGAATGTGCTGCCCCTCACCTGCACTGCTGAAGGCAATGGGTGCCCGAAATAGAAACTCCTCCAAGAGCAGAGGGAGCCCAGCCACGAGGGCTGTGCCAGAGGCACTGCAGGAACAGCCTTTGCAAGGTCAGCAGTTTCCCTTCTGTCAGCGGAGTCTTGGCTGTGCCACGACTGCCCAGAAACCTGCCCCGGGCTGATGGGATGCTGGGCCTCCCCCAGTGCAGCCAGCAGCAGCAGGGGCTGCCCACCACGTTATCCAAGCAGACACCAGGCAGGCTCCTGCACAGGGAGTGATTTTCCCAAGGAATACCCAATCCAAGCACTGCCGTGCCTGTGCCGGTACGGTCAGCTCGCTCAGCACATCCCACTGTGCTGTGACCTTTAACAATGCAGTTCTGCCACAAGTCCTCCTAAGAGACTGCTTTATATAGCCTTTACCTCAGATCCTGAGAGCTCAGGGACCCAATCGCTTTCAAGAAATGATTCCACCTTAAGCACTGACTTTCGGAAATGCATCATCTGACTTTCTGGGAAATTGCAAATGTTATATTGTTAGAAAACACAAGTCACAGGATTTTACAAGTGGTTCTCTCCTGCACAGGCTTAGATCACTGATGCAGGTTTACTGGCATTTCTGGTTTGTGTCATGCTACATCAGCTCCCGAGTGAATAATTTGAAAAGTTGTATTTGAAAAGTTATATGTTTGAACTAATAAATTCTAGGCCAGTTACATATAAATCTGAGTTCCTACAGGTACATATTAATTTGGATATATTTGCCTACTTAAAACTCTGAGGAGATAGCATTCCATGGCTTTGCACCTTGCTGCTGACTGGTTACTTCCAGCTGGATATCACAACCCGCTGGCTCCCCAGTGCCAGCCCTCGAGGCTCCAGAGGGGAACATCCTGCCCCACAGGGAATTACCTCCCACCACCTACAGCAGCACTTTCTCACCTTGCAGCTCATGGGCACATGAGAACTGAGATCAATAACCTTAACTCCGTGGTGAAAGCACAGATCAATAACCTCCAACCACTCCACTTATGCCAATGTTAAACGATGCTGATTCCCTCACGTGACCCCATTTCCCAGAACCTAACAGGGAGAGCAAGGACTCTTCTAGAGCACCACAATTCCAGCCATGGAATCCTTATTCTGTGGAGCTTTCCACAAGGAGAATTTCTGGCAACCTTTAAAGCACCAAGTGACCAAAGCTATACAGTTTGGTGCTCAGCACCACAACGCTTCCCTACTTATCACAGAAGTTATCAGACACTCGAGCAGCTGTATAACCACAATTCCTTTATCTGCAATGGTTCCTTTTTTAACAAAGCAGAAAAAGACAAAAACATAGAACAATCAGAAACCGCCAGAAGAGACAAACTGAAAGTCACCGGTTTCGTAAGTCAATTAAAATAAAAGGGAAGGAAAAAAAAAGAAGAAACAAGGGGAAGCCAAGATTTTAGCCATGTGCTGCCTCAGCCAATTGCACAAACTGATTCGTGGCAATGGAAGGTGAAATCTGGACCGGCCCAATTCGCTCCTCTCAGGAAGCTGCAGATGCTCAAATTGCAACACATGACCCAAAGTTTTAGACAATTGCAGCAGATTTATGACTCTTCTAGAATGAGACGTTGTGTAATGGAGTGATGGGAAGAATATGCAATAGGAATTACTGTAAGCCTGGCATGGGCTCCAAGACAAGGGACGATGGGGCAGCAGTGAATCTTCTGTGCCTGACTCCAAAGCATGAAAAAGAATTTTTGTGCATGAAAAAGAATTAATTTTTTATTTTCCTTTTTAAATGCTGTGCATTAGCACTATCCATCTTCCTGACTGCAGGAAGTGAATTCTCCAGAGCAGCGGGAATACCACAAGGTTTGGTGACAGGGCCAGCCTTTGCTAGGACTGTCCCTTCTCCAGTGGACATGTTTAGGGCTTGTTGACCTGTTGCTTTGGTGGCCCCAGGCCTTTGCAGCAGAAATAGTCCCTGAGAGGGCTCAGAGGAAGTGAGATGTGGCAGTGATGTATTTTCTGCTCCTAACAATGGTATTTCTTGGGACATTTTATTATTCTACAGTGATTCAGGGCTGAAAAATAATTTCTACATGACGTGCAAACTGATTCTTGAATAATTTTGTGAAAGACTAAGAAGCATACATGCAAATTATTTCTCCGACACACACTGTTTTCTTTTTTAGGACCACAGAACCTGCCTTGGAGCTTATAGAAATTTACTTTTTTTTTTTTTTTTTTTACACAGGAATTTTACTGAGAGGATCTAAAGACCTTTAAGTGAAACACTGCTGGCTCCTAATTCTGGGGTGGATCATGCTTTTGTTGTATAACTGTGAACTCTCTGTGTCACATGAATAAAGGCAGTAAATATTTACATATTTATAGTGCAAGCAGTTATTCAAAAGCTGAGGGTTTTCCTATGGAGAGCTGGATTGGATGAAGAAATCCAACGCGAAGAAATCGTCTCCTGTGAGGGTGGGGAGGCCCTGGCACAGGTTGCCCAGGGAAGCTGTGGCTGCCCCGGGATCCCTGGAAGTGTCGCAGGCCAGGTTGGACGGGGCTTGGAGCAACCTGGGATAGTGGAAGGGGCGTGGCACTGGAAGGGCTTTAAGGTCCCTCCAAGCCCAGCCAGCCTGGGATTGCAGGATAAACGAAACCGAGCGTACCTAAGGCGGCAGGTCCGTGCGGCGGCTCCGTCCCGCAGGCACAGCGGGCATTCCCTGCGGGATCGCGGGCGGGAGCGGCGGTGACGTCAGCGCCACGCGGGGTGACGTCAGCGGCGCGGGGCTCCCAGCGCCCCGCGCGGCGGAGAGCGGGGGGGGAGCGGCGCGTGCGGGGAGCGCCCGGGCGGCAGCGCGCCCGGCATCCATCCCCTGTGTCTCCCGCAGCCCCCCGTCCTCCTGGCCGGCCCCGCCGCGATGTTCTCCAGGAAGGGCCACGCCGACGTCAGGAAATCCACGCAGAAGGCGCTGGACCCGAAGCGGGACGTGCTGACCCGGCTGAAGCATCTCCGCGCGCTGCTGGGTGAGTGCGGCGGCCGCGAGGGGACCCCCCGCGCCCTCACTCCTCCTCCTCCGGGCGCTCCTCGCCCTCCCAGCGCTGCCCCGGTGAGTGTTTTCCCCCGGGACGGCGGTGAAACGGGGGCATAAAAGCCCCCCTTCGCTGCCCGGGGACCCCCAGGCTCCCGTGCAGCCCCGTGGGCTCCCCGGGCTGTCGCTGCCGAGGGGCAGCGCTGGGTGTCCTTTCCAGAGGCGTGGGAGCCGCGGGAGAAAGTTGCGGGTGTGTTTCGCTGCTCCTGCCTTTGGGAATTCGCGTTTCCCGGTGTCCAAGCGCTCCTGGTGCAGCCTTGTGGTTTGGGTAGTAAATAGTAGGTGAATGTATTTCCCGCGGGGTTCTTCGGGAGATCTCTTCTGCTCTTGTCAACAGCGTTAATTTGGGGCTTTTTATTGTGGTGGTTTTTGGTTGGTGGTTTTTTTTTTGTTTTTTTCTTTTTTTTTTAACTTTAAAGGAGGCCATGGTGTGGCGCTTTGTGATGCTTTTCTGCGCGTGTGGCAAGGTTGAACCTCGCTAATGTCGCCTTGCAGGTGAAGCCTTTCCCCTCACAGCTCTGCACGTTGAAAGGAGCCGACGAGTTTCAGCTGTTGCTTGTCGGAGGGAGCTGATGCGCTTCAGCTGTGAGGTGTATGTAGTTCGACGGGGTTGGGGTGGGCACAGCTGGGGCCGTGCGGGGCACAGGTGCTCCCTCAGCCCGGGGCGTGCCCTGGGCAACCTCGCCGGGGCTGGGCTCGGAGCGAAAACCTCGCGTCTGGTGTCCCGCCGGCAGGAGAAAACACACAAAAGAAGCTTTTAAGTGTGCTGCGGCAAGGCGAGGAGGCTCTGTGGTGAGGACGAGGGGACGGTCCCGAGCCAGCAGAGAGCGGTGCTCGCGGTGCCCTTGGGGCGCGCGGAGCGATCGCCGTGAGGGGCAGTGGCCGTTGGGGGCTCGTGAGGGGGCAGTGGCCGTTGGGGGCTCGTGAGGGGCAGTGGCCGTTGGGGGCTCGTGAGGGGCAGTGGCCGTTGGGGGCTCGTGAGGGGCAAGAGGGCAGGGGCAGGTGGCCGTTGGGGGCTCGTGAGGGGCAGTGGCCGTTGGGTCTGGCCGTTGGGCTCAGTGGCCGTTGGGCTCGTGAGGGGCAGTGGCCGTTGGGGGCTCGTGAGGGGCAGTGGCCGTTGGGGGCTCGTGAGGGGGCAGTGGCCGTTGGGGGCTCGTGAGGGGCAGTGGCCGTTGGGCTCGTGAAGGGCCCCGCCCGTGCCCAGGTGCCGCCGGTTGGGCTCAGGTGGGAGCAGTCAGTGACTCACGGGCGGTAATTCCCGGGATCCGCTGCTTTCCAGCAGCCCGTGGTGGGCACTTGGTGAGGGGACAAAGTGCCGGGCAAAGCCGGCCTCGTGGCCTGGGGCTGGCTCATCCTTTGAGCGGCAGGAAGGGCAAGTTCGACGTGCCCGGCCTGTGGATGTTTGAGCTCGTGGTTTGCGCTCCCAAGCGGGGCGGTTTTGAGGGCCGTGCCTGGCGGTGGAGACCAGAGGCCCGTGTGCCAGGCCCTCGGCGGGTCCGTGGGCAGCGCTGCACCTTGGCTGTGAGCGGAGGGTGAGTGACTGCCCCGGGTGTAAACTCCTCTGTTCCGTGGGTAAGGAGTGTCCGTGGTTGGGAATCGGGGCATTAGTTTCATGTTAGTTTCCCTCTGGGAGCTACACGCGGAAGTTTCGGAAGGTGCGTGAAATGCCTTGTTTGTTTGGGAAGGTGCGTGAAATGCCTTGTTTGTTTTCGTTTGTTTGGTTTCGTTTGTTTGGACGGAACCGTGAATGGAAGTGCCTGGGGGCAGGAATTTGAAAAGCCAGGAGAAGGTGCTGTGGCATTACCATGCGCCTCTTAACTGTGCATGTCCAATTGCTCATGTGCTGTGTGAACTATATTAAAATAATGTCCATTTTATTGCAAAATAATTGTGGGAAATTCTTTAAGAGTTTTTTAAGAGTGTTTTGTGAAACTGTCCTGAAAAAGATCATGACCTGAGACCACAGTGTGAGCTTGGGACTGTACATTTCTTCCTTCTCCACCAGCCTCGATGAAACAAATAGACTTGAAGAACTAAGAAACAGAGCAGCTTTTTTGTTAATGTGCCCCTTTCAGCCTCTCAGCAAGACCCAACTGGTTTAAGCTGCAGTACTGGCCTTGCTCTGGCTCTTGGTTGTCTCGGGGCAGTGCTGGGTTTTGTGTGCCCCTGTGGTGCCCAGGAGGCTCTCGGGCTCCTGGAACAGACTGGAGGGGGAACAAATGGAAACCCATGCCCATTAGCGTGCCAGAATTAGTTTCTGTCCCAGTGCAGATGGTTCAGGAGGTGGTGTTGCCTGGTGGTTTTCTGTCAAGATACTTATTACCCAGTTGGCAAGGGGGGAAACACGTGCGTCGCTCTCGGGAAGTGACATCTCTCCTTCCAAGTGGCTGCTGTGTTTGGAGGTAGCGACCTGATTCCTTGGATTAAACTTTGGTTTAAAGTGCAGGTTGTTGGCAGTGCCAGAGGGCTGGCTGGGGGCCGTGGTGTGGCAGCTGCCTGGCTGCTCGGGGCTGGGGGTCAGGGCAGGCGCTGTGTCTGAGCGGCTCTGGGGATGTTCCTGGGACGTCTGCTTTTGGGAACAGCAATGGAAATGTTTGAGATAGTACAGGAGGGGCTTTTTGAAGATGATATCTTCATGGATATTGTTGCAAGTGTATCTTTTATGGTACTGACCCGCACAGACAATGAAGCAACACATGGGAAGGACCTTTCCGGTATTTAAGGAAAACAAAGCTTTTGGATAAAGGTTCAAAAATAGTTGGATTTTTTTTTTCTTCTCCTCTTGTGCTGGCCAGTGTAGGAATGTGTGTCTGTTCCTCCCACCCTGGACGTTTCACTCCCTGTCACCAATTGCTTCCCTGGAGCCATAGGGGCACATGTTCTCCAAATAGCTGCTCCTGGTCTTGTGTTTCCTTAGGAGATGCCAACTCCTTTTCCTTTGTTAGTTTTAAATCACAGGAATTAAATTGTAAACAAAATGACAGTTACTCTTCTGTGATCCCACTGATGCAGGAGGATAAAGATCAGAGAGAAGACGATAATAGGGGAGGAATGAGGTAAAGGAATGTGTATTTCCATAAATAAGGGCTCATGTGAGCTCTGGATTGCTTCAGGTCCCTTAGTGTCATCTGTATAAGTTTGTGCAGTGTCCAAACTGAAAGAAAAGGTTCCCTTTAAGTTTGTGTTGCTTATAACCTCTCTCAGGGCTCAAATGCCCTTTGGGATCCAAATTCCTAATCTGTGGGGTGCCCTGCCTGCATGGCAGGACAGAACACTACCCAGAATAAGTGGGTGTTCATTTGTGTTGGGGAAATGACCAGAACATTTCCCTTATTTTTTTATTGCTATAGAGATGTATTTATGTTCAGAACTTTTGTAAAGTCAGTAGAAATTTTTTTTCCAAATATAGTTTGTGGAAGTGTCAGTAGTGTGGCCTTTTTTTTTTTTACAGCAGACCTAAAAAACAATGGACTGATAAGCAGCAGTGGAGATGTACAGGGTTGGCTCGTCCCCACTGACTGGCCATAAATGAAACCTCTCCAGTTTCCCAGAGTGGTTTCTGTGGGACTTTTGTAGTATAAAGATTAATCACTGCTCTTCAAGACTTTTTCTGTGGCTATTCTTGGGTAAAAAATACTCTCTTTTTTCTTGGAACATCTTATGCAGTAGTGTTTTCTCCTCAGGCACAGTTGAAATCCTTAGGTGTGATGAATACTGCTGTACAGATGTGGGCTGCTGCCATGTCCAGTGCTTTCATCCTTTTCTCTGTTGAGCAGTGGGCAAACATATGGGAGACCTGTTACAGCTGCACACAGACTTCAGTTAAGGTTCAATATGAACTTTGTGAGGTTACCAAGTGCAGTCCTGAATCTTTGTCTTTACAAAATACCAATTAGGAAAAACCCTGTTTTTCATTGAACTCGGTCCATCAAAAATGGGATAATAAGGGAGAGTAGTGGGGTTTCAGGTCTGGCACTGTTTGGTCTCACAGTTCTGTGCAGCTGGAGTAATATCAGCTCAGTGGAAATTTTCATTTAGAGACACTCAAAAGGGAAATGTGTCTGGGCTTCTCGCTGGTGTTGTTCCAGAGAGCTCATGTGAAATTGGAGGTGTTGACATTATTTTGGAAATTGTTCTAATCGGAGGGGTGTTTCAGTAACAGTCTGTTTCCATGCTGACATGCTTTTTTTGAAGATAAGTAAAAACTGTGCGTTATTTCTGGGGTGAGGCTGGTAGTAAAAGTTTATCATTAACCAGGGCATGACTGTGAAGTTCTCTTCATCTCCTTTAATTTTTCAAGTACTTGAGGATTGAGTGAGCTTTGTATAAATAGTATAAAGTCAAGTGACTTTGGAAATTCAAGGAACCAAGGGAGGATTTCTATCAAGTGCCTGTGATAATGTTTGTAGTTAACAGGAAGATAAAAGATAAGCCCGTGTGCTAAGGAGAGGCTTGTTGTCCCCCATGGACTTTTTTTTAATATGAGGAAGAGCATTGAGGGCTTGGCAATAAACTTGGGCTCTTATTAAAATAGTACTTGAGTAGTTTGTTTCCCTAAATTTTAGATTTAAGAAGTAAAGCAAGTCAGGGTGATTGGGAGGCATCCAATGAGCCAGTCATGTCATGTTTATGTGGAAGAAATAGGATGTGACCCTCATGGATGTCTGACTGTTTCCTGGATTTCGCTGCCAAAGCTCCATTCGAGTGTTAACCGGAAGCGTGAGCCTGTGGATCACCTGCCCTTGTTTGGGAAGGGGGTGAATTCCAAGGGTTTGGGAAGCTGCTGTGGATCTGGTGGCTGCTGCTGTCTGCCAGCTTGCCGAGGTGTGAGCGCTCAGAGCCGGTTTGCAGCTGGAGTAACCTGAGCTATTTGTGAGTAAACATAAAAGCAACCCCGAGTACCTGTAGCTCAGCCCCAGTCTCGCTGCCTCACTTCCTCAGAAATCCCCATCCAGTCAGTGGGATTTCCCCAAAGTCAGGGCTCTGTCTTATTATCTCAAAATGGCCCAGGAAACTTTCCTTGATGTCTTCCGTTTGAAAAACAGGAACGAGCCGTGTCCTGCTACAAGTTAAACATAGCTGTAAGAAAAGGCTGTGGCTGTAGGGATGCAGCTCACATCAGACTCGCCCCTGAGTCACCACTGAGATGCCACATTTAGAGAAAAGGAGAATTTACTTTTTTGATAAGGCAGTTCCTTTCTCCTCCTTTCACAATTCACAGGGAAAGTTTCCTTTTTGTGTAGATTTTAATGACCTCATTCCTTCATATGAAATGCCTGTAAATGAAGGCCTTGTTTTCCCCTGGAGTTGTGTTTAACAGAACGCATTCATGGTGAGGAATAATTGCACTTAGCTTGCAAATTCAAGACCAGTAGTTTGCAGGAAACAAATATCATGGCGGAGAGTTTCCCTGCACTAATTGTTTCCATAGTACAAGCAGCCAAGCAAAGCCTTACTGCAGAAAGGTATTAATTTAAATAAAAATCAAATTGTCCAAAGGCTAAAGTCATTCTTTCTTCTGTAGTTGCGGGATATTGTTGGGCCTTGTTGCTGCCATCAGCTTTATTTTGGTTACTGAATGGGTTTCTTACAAGGTGAAGCTTCAGTGAGAGGATGTGTTGTTAATAATTACTGTCCTTCTCTTAATTCTGGGTGCAATTGCCTAACTTTTCTGGACCAAATCAGTTGCAATAAAGAGCAAATGGGTGAAGTTAATGTGTTTGGCAAGTGTCAGGTTAAGAAAACATCAGACTTTTATCTTCTTAAAAAGTAAACTTAGTCCAAATTTTTGATGTAAGTTAAGGCTTCGGAAACTGATGCATGCCTGGATTGCCATTATTAAAAAAAAAAGAATTAGAAATATGCTGTTTTCTGAGTTGATCTGTTTGCCACATAAATTTAAGAACCGGATTTGCATCCAGAAGTCTTTGCTGGTGTTTGTTTTCTCCAGCAGTGCCTGCTTGTTCCAGAGATACAGAAGCTGATTGGTTACATGGTTGAGACTTGCCTCATTTTTTTTATTTTATTTTTTTTAATGGAAAGCAAATGAGCCAAAGCCCCACTGCAAACCTTCATAAATTCAGTGAAAATGGACATTTCCCTGGTTTACTGGCAAGGATGGAATCACAGTTTAGTACTGAATATTCATTGAGGTCACTAAAATAGTTTTGTATTGCATTTATTTCATTCTCTAATGCTAGATTTGAGGAAAACAAGAATTTTCAGCATTCTGCTCGTGTAATAACACTGTTTGTTCTCTTTTCAGATATTGTGGATGGAAGTGACCTGAAGCAATTTTTTGATAATAATTATTCTCAAATTTATTTTATATTCTATGAAAACTTCATAACACTGGAAAATAGCTTGAAACAAAAAGGTAAGTTGTAGAGTTTTGCCAGCAGGTGTTGGTCGGGGTTCCCCACGTGTTGTCCAAAGCAATTCCATTAGAGGCTGTCCAATGATTATCCATATTTGCATCAATAGTTTCATGCAGCACAGTGTTAGTATTAATCACTTTAATTTCGTGGCAGCAGAAGAGACGAGCATGGAAAATCGCTCTCTGAAATGTCAGCAGCTGATAAGATTTCTGAGTTCATTTTCATGGCTAAGTGTCATTTCAGCACAGAGCTCAGTTCCTGTGCTTTTACTCATGTGTCCTCTCACCTTCTTCTGGGGTCCTGCAGCTCAGGCTGTTGGGGTGAGACATGGTCAGAGCACAGAGAGGCACCACAGTTTGGACATGTCTTGCACTTGGGATGTTGGATAAAGATGAAAAATAAAGTGGGTGACGCCTTTGGTTCAGCTGAACAACAACAGCCTGATTTTGCTGTCTCACACCGTGTATTTATGGCAGACAATATTGGTTTGTGTCTTGCAGGGAATAAATCACAAAGGGAGGAGCTGGACTCCATCCTCTTTCTTTTTGAAGTAAGTTTTCCGTACCATGAAGCAAATTTGTATTTTGTCATTCTGTGTTTACTTAGAGCTTTGCAGCGAGGGGTGAAACCAGGTGTCAGTCACAGGGGAAAGGCAGAACAGAGCTGGGGAGGGTGTTCAGCTTTCAGATACAACCACCATTGTATTATGCAGTGAGAATGTTGGTGGAATGAATATGCAGAGTTGAGATGTTTTATCAAAATGGCTTGGAAGTCCTGCAGTAACACATCTGTCCTGAGGAGCTGGGGCTGAAAATGAGCTGGGGGTCTCAGGATCATTTGGGGAGCATGTGGTCAGTGGTTCCGTAGCCTCTGTTAGGCTAAAGCTTTCAAAATAGTCTGTTTCTTCTGTTCTTTTTTCTTTTAATTAAAGAAGGTATTGCTTCTGTATTTTGTGGAGGGGCAGTTCAAACCAGCAGGACTGTTTCCCTCCGCTGTGTCAGTGTGAAGTTCAGCGTTATGTTTATTTGGAATGTGTCACAGCAGGAGTCTGGGCCCAGCTCCTCTCCCATGAAGGCATCTGTTATGGTTACAGTGTTTGGTCTTGCAGCACAAGGGAAATAAGAGGATAGGAGTTGTCAGCTACTGCACATCAGTTTAATCGGAGCATGTGAAATACTAATTTGTTAAACTTTTTTAGTTCAGTGGAGCATCTTTCACTTCCAGAAGCAAATCCTTCCCTCCTTCCCAGCACTGGCCATCAGAGCATGGGCAGTGTCTGAGGAGGAAATGTTACCTAGTTAACTTCTGCATAATCAAATTAGGATTGTTTAAATTAAAAGAAGAATAGTCTGGGATAGATAATTTTCTGAGGTACCTCTTTAATTAGAGTTATTAAATAAATATATTTTGGATGTGAAATATCCAGAAAATATCACTGGACCAGATGAAAGCCTAGCATATAGAAACATTCTTACACTGCACACTGAAATTCTTAGCATAAGCTCTGCCCATCTCTGTACACAGAAAGCAGTGACACTTTTAAATATTAATTTTTAACAGTTATTTAGGAAAATAATTGGCCAGATTTCTTTCTTAAGATTTAACACACATCTTCTGTTGATTTCTCTCTATTTTTGTTTTCTTTATTTCTTTCTCTTTGTTACTGCAACTACCAACTTTTTAGTTGCGTGTTGCATCATAGAAATGCCATCTTTGTTTATATTTTGGGTTATTTTTCTGTAGGGGTGGGAGGAAAAAAGCCCTCAAATTTTCAGTGGGACTCTAGAAAAGGAAGTCAAAACAAAAGTTAATTGTTCTCAACTCTTCTCACTCCCTCTAAAAAAAACCCCAACCCAAACCCCTTAGAAGTATGTGGTTTCATGGTTTTGCATTAATGAGTAGTTTGTAGTTGGAGTGGTGTTTGTGTTGTTAGTAAAAATGATGCTGTTTAGCCTAATGTGCCTGTAATGGGAAAAATGGCCATGAAAACGCTGACATGCAATCCTGGGGTTTGTGGTCTCGGATTCTCACTGTGATGCAGCCAGTTCATCTCCCTTTTCTTCTCCCTCCCTTCTCCCCTGGAACCATGAGACTGAAATCTGAACTGTGCTTCCTGCTCCTTACAGCAGTAGAGTCTGCTCTAGGGTTTTGCCCAGGGCAGTGTCAAAGATCAGGAGCTCAGAAATGTGCCAGGTCAGTGTTTGGGGCAGGAGGAACTCTTCCTGCTCCTCCCTCCCCAGCCCAGCGGGGAAGGTGTCACACCTGCACCGAGCAGTTAATGGCAGCTCATTAGTACCCTTTAATTGGGAGTGACATTTCTGTGGCCCTGTCACCGAATGGGAAATAGCTAATGCTGGCTCACCTGGTGAGAGAGAACAACTGCATTCCTGGGGCTAAGAACTGCCCCTTAGGACTCTCCAAAAGCATCAGGAGAACATGCTGTCTGAAGGAGGAAAAACCCAAAGCTGTGTCTGAACTGGGGCTGCTTGGGGTCCCAGTGGGGGAGAGCTGTGTTACAGCCGGGTCACGGGCAGCTCTGGGGAGCAGGAGATTGTTTCAGGTATTTGTGTGGGGTTCAGGGCGATCCACTTCATGGTGGGGATCTGCTGGAGTGACCTTGCAGTCCATGTAAACTGAGACTGGGTAAGGTATGCGTTGGAGAGCAGCCCAGTGGAGGCCTTGGAGCACCGACCAGGAACCCATCAGCGTGAGCACAGGGCAGGCAAAAGGGAATGCCGAGTGATGAAACCTTCACACTGAGCCAGAGGAAACGAAACCAATTGATTGTTAAGCTTTCCATATTTGATCTGATGTCAGTGTGAGCTGGGGGGGTGCTGCATTCTCTCCTAATTAGCTAAATAGGTAATTACTTAGGATTAACAAATCCAGAGTCCAGGCGCTGAGTGTTAACAGCTTAAAAATCAATAAAAATATTTATGAGGGAATTGACTTTGCCTTTCCCAGCGGTTTGGTGGGCTCGTGCTGCTGTTGTGGAGTGACACCTAGTGTGTGTATTGGGCAACAGAGGTCTTTCCCACAAATCCTCTGGAAACTGCTTTAACTGGGCTATAATTTGTGGATTTTTTAATTTTACCCATTAGCTGCAGAGCTTGGCCACTCAGCAACAACATCAAACAATGTGTTATTTAAAGAAGAAATGTTAATCAGAATGGAGGAATGTGAAGGTTTAACTGTTCATTTTGGAAAGTGCTTTTTTGCAATTAATATCACAAAATTCTTGGTTCTAACTCTATATTCTCTAAGGTGCTCTGGCCTTGTCTTTTTCCAGATAGGTATCTGTGAAATGACACAGCAGCTGTACTGTGTTATTTTCTCCTGTTTCAGCTAGAAGCCCAAAAATGTGTGAACAACAAACTTGCTTGTTCTCTGCTGAGGTTTGGCTGTCTCCAGATTTGCAGTGTATTTGCAGAACAGGTTCCTATTGTTCCTCGTGTCCCTGTTCTCAGGTTTGAGGGCAGCTCTGAGCCCGGTGTGTCACAGACCTCACAGAAGGTGCACTACACTTATATCCATTATCTGGGTCCCATTACAGTGTTATGTCATCATCTGGTTGTGAAAGCTTGGATTTTTTTTTTATAGTAATGTATTTTTTTCTTGCAGCATCAGGTACTGATTCCTCTGACACTGCATTTGTTTTATCTCTAATGAAGTAAAAGCAGACTGATGGCTTTGATATCATACCTAGCTCAATTTCTTCCCATTCTCTGTAATTTTGCTTTATTAGTGAAGAACAGCCACATCATTTCTGTTGTGCTGATGGGGTCATCAAATTCACCCCACGGACTTAACACGTTCACTGGATGAAGTGCTTTATTCTCAGAATTTTTCAGATAATCTTTCTACCGTAGAAAAGCTTCCCAAAGCCACTTGTGGAAGTGCTGCTGTTGCTGAAGGTGTTTCAGGTCCTGTCAACGTAGTTCAGGTGTCACTGTAGGTCTGGGGACAGCTGAGGTGATGGGGTGGGTGCTCCCACCTCCCACAGGGGATGTGTTTGCTGGAAGCTTCTCAGCTTGGATTTTTCTGCTTGTTTATTTTCTGCCAGTGCACAGTAACATAACATAAAGAGCCCTCATGTTTCACACTGCACCGACACCCCTTGGGCACAGACACTGCTTTTTTAGTCCTCCTAGTAATGCTCATAACTAGAGCTGTTAGAATATATAACTTTGGTTCACTCTGGAGTAAGACTGCTGTGGATATTTTAAACACCGAATTCTCCCAGCACCTTACAGGTGTCCTTTATAGAGACTGCTCTATGAATTAGCAGTATTGGTGAAGCAGCTTAAAACAAATCTCCAAACCAGTGTTCACTTTCAGCAGGTCATTTTCGATTTCATGAAAACCTGCATCAGTGAAATTGGAGTACTTTTGGATTCCTAACTCTTTTAAAAGTTAGGTGCTGCATTGGTGGTTTTTATGAATGTGCAAAAGGACACTCTTTTATATTTCTAGCATTACCTTAGGGTGGTTTGCTTGTCTTAGGATGTTGTTCCTAATTACTTGCTACCTTTTGAACAAAAGTGAGTATAGTTGAATTCTGAGGAATTAAACTGTGTATTGAAACCAAACAATGGTAAAAGAAAGTACTTATAAAATTCTTTACAGGGAATAATGAAGTTGTTGTTGAGTTCCTGTTGCCACAGGTCCTGATTTCTCATTTCTTGTGGTTGCCCCTTTTATTTAACTTACTTGTTGCTGTTTGCATTTCCCTCATGTCTGTACAGCTCAGTATCTTAATTTCCCCACCTGTAGGTTATCAGACACTTGAAATCAAGTTACCATTAAGAGTCAGAGCTTAAAATGCAGAGTTACAGCCTTAAATTCAGGTCCTAGGTTCCTTTTCAGCCTTGCAGTGGGTTCCTGTGGAATCCCAGTGGGATTCCCAGTTGCACTGTTCAGCCTCCAGTGTGTCACACAGACTTGGCTGGCTGACTCAAGCTCACTAGAGTAAAAAAAGGGCTTTTTTGTTAATAACAATAAAAGTGCTTAGAGCTCTTCTTTTCTACACATGGAAAACTACTTTTTTAACCATTTGCAGTTCATTCTGCCATTGTTCTGCTTTCATTTATTATTACTCTTAATAAACATTCTTGTTATTCTTACAGCATTCTGTGGTAAATTCTAAGTTTCCTATGTTTGACTTCAGAGATCTTGTTATACCTGGGGCAGTAGTAAGTGCCCTGTGTGCTTTGGGCAGACATTTTCCCTCAGCAAATGACTGTGAATAATTTATTAACGCAATAAATGGAGGGTTCCATCATTTCAACTGAACTGCTGCAGGCACACTGACTCCACTGGGCTCTTGGCTTATCTGAGCCGGTGAATAGGAGCTGGAAAATGTCTAAATTGCTGCAGGTTTCGGTAGTTAAACACGTTGTCCCTGCTGTTGTCAGTGCCTCCAGGAGCGTTCAGTCAGCCGGGGCACCTTTGGTGGGGCTTTGTTCCTGAGCCCGGGTTGGGAGCAGCTCTGGCAGCAGGACAGCCGTGCCTGTTGTCTCACTCTGTTAGTGGAGCTGGGAAACATCCTGGCTGGGGGATCTCGGGTGTAAGGTTTGGTCCCAGCTGTCCCTGCGTTGGGGCAGCACTCAGTGATAGGCACAAAGCTGCCAGTCATGGTGTCATTCAACAACGGGGGCAGAAATAAAAGGCTTTTTAAAAGAAATTGCAGTATTGGTGAAGTCAGAGCAAGTCTGTTGAAATACAGCCTTGGTGGTTCTTATTCTACTGTGATAAAAGAGAGAGATCCAGCTTTCAAAAAGCAGCATCCTGTGTAAACTAAGATTTAAACTTAACATTATTCCTAGTCATGCAGGAAGTCCAAACGAAAAAGAACTATGGATAATCAGTTAAAAGAACTGACAGATACCCTGATGTGTTGATCAGTAGTAATACCTAATTTCTATTTCAAGTGTGCTATAATGGATTACCATATAGATGCAGCAAAGCACTAAGCATTAAATAGATCTATGTGTTTTCTGAAAAAGCAATATTATTTCGCACTGTGGGGTTTCTTAAAACATTTCTTATTAGTGTACTGTGAAACTAGGAACAAGATGTCAATAGCCAGCTCGGATTCGCAGCGGTGTGGATGGCAGCCTGGGCTGGAGGGGAAGAAACCATCATTTGTTTTACAGGAATAGCAATATGTGATTTTTAGAACACCAGGGTGGGGAGGGTGTAGAAAATACCGTTGGAAATGGGAAGTTGCAGTGGGAACAACTGGAGCTTGTTTGGGATCTGTGCTGTCTCGTGATGCACTCCAACCCCACCTCAGTGTGGGGACCCCAGTCTCTCAGGTGAAAATCACCAGTTAGATGTTGTGCTGCCTGGGACTGGGGGTTAACTCATAACCTGCAGTCACTTGTGTTTGAAGGTGTGGATTTTAACCATGGTAACATGTTTTGGCATTGCAGGAACAAATGTGGACTCTGAGTTTTTATGTATTTATACTGACTGTGCTCTGCAGCAGAGCTGTGCTGTCTGCAGCAGGGAGCTGGGACACCAGCAGTCTGGGGTGCTTTTTCAGGTGATTAATCACATCTTTGCATTTTTTTCAAAACACATGCATTTATAGTTTTCCTGGTTTTGAGATGCTGGGAAATAAACGTCTCAAGTTTTGCCATATGGAAAGGTTTTGGGATATGGAAGCTTTCATCACATGGGAGCTTCTGTACTATTTATTTCAACCCCGGAATTGTTTTGATTCAGTCACCTGACAGGGGTGTTGGATTCTGTGTTTTGTAAAGCAAAAAGAACAGTAAGGGTGTTGTTTTCTGCCCCAACCCTCCCAGCTTCGTGCAGTTTAGAGTTTAAGCTTGCTTTTGTTGTTGTCCTCTGCAACAGCCAGTGTTCCAGGCTTTCTCTGGGCACAACCTTAACTTCCACATCTGAGTGTCAGTGAATTTAAGTTCTTTTTCAAACGGGTCTTTATTATGCAGCTTTTACCTTATCAGCTCACACCTTGTCATAGCTGACTTTCTGGAAGTGAACTTCGTGTTCAAATTTAGGTGAAACTGTGTAACAGACTTAAACAATGGAAACAAAATACGTGCGATTCTTGTCTGGTTTTCCATGATAAATGTGCCAATGTGTGAAGGTTCATCCCTGCAGTGTATTGTGACACCTGAATCCAGCCCGGTTTTTGTTGCTGGTTTGTCCAAGTGTTTGTTTCCTGGAGCTTTTGGTGTGTGATGGGCCTGGCACAGACACAGCTCCCACAGGGAGTGGCACTGCTCCAGGGGGCACTTGGAGCGCTCCTGGGTTAGGTTAAAGCTCCTCTTGCCCTGTGCCAAGTTAAGTGAAGGTTAATGTCAGAAAGTGTCCTGAGGAGTGGTGGGCTGCTAGTGTTTAATGTTTAGATGGATAGTGATAACTCTTTGGCCATGGATCCTGCAATATGATTGGCAGAAACCTGGTCCTTAACTAACAAGTAAAAAGCCCCAGCGTGAGTCATGGCCTCATTTTTAGCCAGTCAGATCCTTCATCCCAAGCCTGTTCCTCCTGCCCACGGAGGGGGGGGAGCCAGACCTCTGGCCACCAGCCCCCTGCTCCTGCAGTCCCTGCTGCCACGGTGTCCTGGGCAGGGAGCTGGGGCAGGAACACCAAAACAAAATACACTGGGAACATAGAAGAGACGTGCCTGGTTTGCAAGTTTACTCTGAATAAACTTCTAGAAATGCCCAGTACTCTCTGGGGAGGACGTGCTCTGGTAAGGGTGTGGAGGAGGAGCAGCCCCTCTGACCTGAGCTCTAGCTCCCTAAGCATGTGAACTTGTCATGACTTCCATCTTCTGCCATGGAGAAAGGAATGGTCCGTTTCCAAGAAGACTATTCTGAGTGTTGTATAAAATTTCTGAAGCACTTGGTTGTCAAAAATAAAAAAGTCTGTCCATGTCTCAGGCACACTGCCGTCAGCAGCAGTGCTGACCCGTGCCAGCCAGCTCCCAAGGGTTGCCCACAGTGCCAGTTCCTGCTTTCTTGGCTGCGATGTTTCCTCTTGTGAGCTTTTGTGTGCAAAACACCAAAAAATGGCTCACCATTGCTCAAGTGACTTGCCATTCATTTTTGCATCCTGCATGTGGTATTTCTGAAAACTTAATGATGGTTTGTTGTGCAGAAGTTTGTGCCAGTGATTTTTGTTTGATAATGACAAGAACTCTGTCTCAGTCATTTATAACATTGTTTGATTTAATTTGATTTCCAAAAGTAGATGTTGAAAAGTAGTTTCCCCATTTAAATATATCTTCCTATGTTCTATATTTCAATGGGTGAAAACCTGTAAGATGCAGACATGTTTTTCTGTGGAACCTGTGTGGAGCCCTGTCTATGTCTCTCCTTTGCCAGGTGGAGCAGCGGTGGGTGAGCTGTCCTGTGTGACTGCCTCACCTGCCTGCCAAGCCCTAGTCCTTACTACCAGTAGTTTAAAAAAGGTGTCTTGGAGCCTCTTAAAGTCCTTTTAAAGCCATATTTACTCAAGTAAGACCCCTAAATAGTTTTGATTTATCCAGTTTATTTAACAGCATTACCATCCACTGAACTGACAAAGAAAGCATTTGGAAGCCCCAAGTGTTCTTTGCAGCTAAGATGATAAGACTCCATTCAGGAAAGCACTTAAGCGTGTGCTTAAATTGCTTTGCGGGTGCCCTGTAGCGCAACCAAACTGCGGGAATGGGTTTGACCACAGCCTCTCGTTGTGTTTGATCTGCCTTCGGGAGGATCAGTCCTCAACTCCAGAGACAGGCCACCACGGATTATTCCCTAAGTGCTTTATTAACTGCCTGTGCTGGGAATTCAATTAGCCTGGCTTTGTGTAATTTGGCTCGGTTTCCCTGAGCGGCTGAAAGCACAGGTAAATGAGCTCTCAGGAGCAGTAACTGCCCCGCTGTTCCCGGTGCCTCAGCCGGGGGTCGGGGCCCATTAGCTGATGGAAACACAGCCCGGAGCCGGGGCCGGAACCAGAGCCGTGACAGGCTCCGCAGAGTCAGCCCAGGAGGGCTGCTCACGATGTCTGGGCTCTTCACGGGCAATGCTGGAGGGCTGAAACACAGGGGAAGGGAAAGTGCTTCATCGCTGGGTCGTGGTATTTATTCAGAACCATTCCCAGTGTCTTTCTCCACAACCAGAGAGCAAAGTCGTGGGCAGGAGTCCTTGTTGTGATAGGCATTTCTTTCTGTGGTATTCTGTTTATATGTATTGCCATTTCATTTGTGTCGTGTGTCTTCGTTTCTCTGTATCCTCTGATGACCCAGTTTATTATGGAAAATTTGACTATTTAGTTTTGTTTCCTGCAGAAAATATTGCAGCTACTGCCTGAGAGGATTTTTTATCGATGGCATTTTCGCAGTATAGGTAAGAAGAAATGGTTTAAAAACATTCTAGTGCAAATAAAATCAATGTTTTCTCTAGTCACTTCCCTGGTTCCACAAGCCCTGAATCCCTCAGCACTGCCCACAGAAATAGTACTCACACAGGAGACTTGCAGCTCAGCATTCCCAAAGCACATGGAAGAATGTTTTTGCCTGCTGCAACAGACCTGTGTCCCTTGCTTGGGGTGGCTTGGATTGCCTGCTTCGCTTTTATTTTGCATGAATGTTATTTCAGTTTTATCTTCTTGGATTTACCTGGCCCTCTTCCCTTTCTTCTCTTCCATGTGATGGTAGCTATCAGGATGAGGGTAATTTAAACCAACACACCTTTTCCTGCTTAGGTCTCCCTTTGGATTCACAGACCAACTCCAAACACTGGGATTCAGGAGTGCTGTGGATCTGTATGTGACTTGCAGATTTGCAGTAGGATGTCTTTGCAAGTGATTGCACAAGAAATGCCTGTTCCAATCCATCCCACCAGGGATAGATCCTGTGTGGAACTTGATCCTCTCTGCCTCCTGGAAATTCATCCTGTAAAACTTGGGCACTGAATAGGCAGCAGAAAGTTCTGCTTCCAACTGCTGCCAAAGCGGTCCCAACATTTTGTTGTGCTGCTTATTAAAGTAAATTTTATGGAGGGGTTCTGTTCCTTCTGAGTAGGACTTTTTTGTTGTGGTTGGGTTTGGTTTCCAGCACTGTCTCTCCAGCTGCCTTGTTTGTCATCAGAACAAGGAATTGCTGTTGCAGAAGAACAATGAGTGGAAGTTAAAGGTCAAGGAAAGGGCTCTTGTCACATTTCCACTCAGCAGTGACAAAAATAAGAGGAGACATCTGCCTGACCACTTCATACTGGTTCAGCTGAGCTAGTCCAGAACAAATTGGTTTCAGTCAGTTGTTTTGTAGCTGATATATTCTTTATACTTCTCTTGGGTGGCCATATTGGGATAATTTTTTGACTGAGCAATTTTTTACAGCTCTACCTTGGGATTTCCTTTTTGCTTAATGTTCACGTGCATTAACGCGTGTTTTCTATACATGTTAATTTGTATTTAGTATTGTGAAGTGGAGAGATCTGGAGGGAAGGAACCTGTTTAAGGGCTGTACATAATTCAATCTTAGTATTTATGAAAATAGTTTGAGACATTGTCATCTGACTAAACCCAAAGTACCATACTGGAAAGACACACCATAGTAAATCTTACTCCACTGATGATGACGGTGATTGTAACCAGATTTACTTTGGATTTTTTCCCCCTCAGTTGTCTTAAAACCCAGTGCAGTGGCCACAGAGTAAATGGCATTAAACTAGCCTTTTCTGGAGTATTTTTTAAAAACCATTGTGGTGGGAGGGCCCGTTCTTTGTGTCTGATAGTGCCTATTTAACTTTCCTAATCCAGGGTCAATTCTGAAGAAACTTTTGCACACTGGAAATTCTCTCAAGGTATTTCTTTGTTTTCATATTCCTTTTCACTTTCATTCTTATGAAGCATATCACTTTGCAGCTTTTCAATATCCGTGGTTTTCAGATTGTTAGGCTTTGTAATTTTACTTACCTTTTAATTGTAAATCTTATTATTGTGATCCCAGATTATTTTAACATTCGTCTTCTGTTATTTTGCTCCTTTAATGACCTTTGTAAAGTTATCTAGAGAAGACATAAATAGATACTGCTTAATGCTTCATTTTTTCAGTTCTCTTTAGCATTAAGTATACTGTATTAAACCTAGGATTAAAATAATAATGTGAACACCCTGGTGTGGTGGAAAGACTTCCTAGCACCTGGCTGGGGTGAAAGCTCTCGTTCTGCGTGTTCTGAACCGTTTAACCACGTTACTGCACTTAGTTTACTGTCTTTTCCCACAAATCCATCCCCTCGCAGATAAGATGTGAAGGAATCCGGCTGTTCCTGCTCTGGCTCCAAGCCCTGCAGACGAACTGTGGGGAGGAGCAGATCCTGCTGTTCGCCTGCCTCGTGCCCGGCTTCCCCCCGCTGGTGTCCTCACGGGGCCCCTGCACCCTGGAGAGCCTCCTCAGCCCTCCCTGCCCGCCCGACGGTGAGTGGGGACACTGCTCCCACCCGGGCACTGGGAACGTGGCATTCCAGGGGGGATGCCATTTGTCAGGCTGCTCTGCTTGGTGCAGCTGCAGAGCCACCTGACTGTCAGCCAGAGCGGTCGGGGTTGGTTGTTTGCCCGTTGGTTTGGGGATTTTTTCATTGAGAGGCAGCAGTAGGAACATGTCACTGCAAAGTAAGCAGGTGTGCTGGTTTCCAGCTCGTTGGTTCACCTGCAGTGGCTGCTGCTGTCAGTCCTTCGAAACCACGGGGAGTCAGATGCCGGTACCACCCTCCATGGGATGTGGCAGGACTTGGGGAAATGCCCAGTAGCTACTGGACTTGGGTTTTCTACAGCTTAGTAGTGCATTAACGGGTATTTTAAATTTATCTTTTCATAGAAAATTCTTTTATTTCAGTATTTTCATGTTTTCATGTTTACGTTTAAAATATTTTGTTTTAGCTAAGATTTTTCCGGAGGAAATAACCCCGCTTTTGCCAGCTGTCTCTGGAGAGAAAATTGCTGAAGACCAAACCTGCTATTTTCTTCAGCTCCTGTTAAAATATATGGTAATCCAGGTGAGGAAGATGTGTGTTTGTAACCAGTAATATCTGGGGGATGTACTGGTCACAGAATATGAATTCTACACTGTATCTGTACAGAGCTGGCTTTGCCCCTCCCCTGGAAGAAACTGGCTCCTGCACTTTATTAGGCTTGGTTTTGAAAGGAAAATCATCCCAAAGGTACTTCCTTGTGCCATCTTTGGTTAAAATAAGAAGTTTGTCACATTTGTGATAAGAATGAATGAATGTTATCCAAACTTGCAGGAAACTGACTATTTTATGTGCTTGTGGTTTCATTTAGAAAATTGATATGGGGTAAAGATGAGATTTGTTCTCTTTGGACACATACCTAGATGAAAAGAAATGTAAACGACCACTGGAGGAAGAGATAAAAAGAGATGGCTTCTAAAATTTCTTTTTTTAAAGGATGCAACTATCATGTACATAAGTTTAATTAGAAGTAGATCAGATGAATCTGTACAGGAAAGAAATTAAGATAATGTATATATTTAAAAAGTACAAATAAAGCAATATTTGAAATAAAGCAGAAACTATATAGACAATGAACATTAAAGAGCTCAGTTTAAAAAAATAGATTATAATTAAATACTTTGACATACACTTTTTAATATCAAAAGGCAAGACCAAAGCGATATTTGGAAGGGATTTTGTCATCTTGAATACATACTTTATTTTGAAAAGTGACTGTAAGAAATTATCAGCTTCCTCCACAGCACCCTTTGTTTTACATATCAGAATCTCACAACTCCAGTTAAAAATAAAATTTCAGTCTTCCTTTTTTACACTTTTTCCATGTTTGGGATCTAAACAAACCTGACTACACTGTAAATCCAGTTGCACAGTGGTTCATCCACGTTTATTTGTGTTGCTCGTTAGTGGGGAGCAGAGCTGGGCACTACCCTTGCTGCAGATGAGCTGAGATCAAGTCATCTGATAGAAGTGCAGAGTGATCCCTTGGAGCCAGAACGCAGATCACATCTGCATCTTTGACAAAGTTTATACCTGAGGAGAATGTAATGTATCATTTTATTTACATCACACTTGTGATGTTTATTTACATCGCAAATAACACGATACAAAACCTCAGCAGTCTTGTATTTTACGAAAGCAGGGCAGTGCAAGTTTCCCACAGAATCCCAGCGTGGGTCGGGCTGGAAGGGACCCCAGTGGCTCCTCTGGTCCCACCTCCCTCCCTGTTCCAGCAGGGTCATGCTGGAGCACATGGCACAGGAGTGTGTGCAAACAGGTCTGGAATATCTCCAGTGAGGAGACTCCACACCCTCTCTGGGCAGTCTGTCCAGTGCTCGGTCACTGCACAGGAAAGTTCTTCCTCATGTCCAGGTGGAACTTCCTGGGCATCAGTTCCTGCCTGTTCCTCTCGTCCCGTTGCTGTCCCGAGCAGAGCCTGATCCGGCCTCTGACACGTGAACTGCGTCAGTCACGTGCAGTCATCTCAAACTGAAGGTGTCTTAAAATGAAAAGAGTAATTCACTGTCAAAATTTGTCATTCTAGATAAATATCATATATGTTTATATTATATATAAATGTAATATATAAATATTTCTGACAGAAGCGTAGCCCAGAGTAACTTTTTCGGAATTTACATGTGAGAAGCAAATTTGGTAAAAGCATGGTCTGACAGCACAAACACACTGGCTTCTGCTGAACTCACTGTCTTGGGGATGCCAAAGCCCTCTCGGGTTATTCTTACTTTATATTCTTGGTGTGGTTTGTAAAGGGTGTTTCAGGACTGTGCTAGTTTTTTAGCTCTTGTTAAAGTGTAGTTGCATGTTTTCTGTGTTCGATGCAGGACGATTGTCAGTATAACACATTAACCTGAGGTTTTTTGTTTGTTTCTCTCTAACTCCATGACACAGGCTGCAAGCTTGGAGTGGAAAAACAAGGAGAACCAAGACACTGGGTTTAAGTTTCTCTTTACCTTGTTTAGAAAATACTATCTTCCTCACTTGTTTCCATCTTTTACAAAGCTAACCAACCTCTACAAACCTGTGCTTGGTAAGTTGTGGGGTTTGTCTTCAAAGTTGGAAAAGCAGGTGACTGCTCTTGGCAGCATCTCTGTTACCTGTGGGCTTGTCAGCACAGCTCTGTTGGATGAGGATTCTTTCTCCTGATTTCGTGTTTTCTTTGAGCACAACTTTTGACCTGCTGTGATAGTGGAGGAAGGTGCTGCTGCTCCTGGCTGTGTAAGGCCTGGCCAATTCCACTGGCATAACATTTATATGGAGCGAGCATGGCTCTGTGATATTAGTGAATGGAGACAGAATGTGCTCTCTGATGGGTTTTTAGAGAACCAGTGAGCTGTCCAGGTGTGGGGGAGTAGCTGACTTAGTTACTCTTATTTTGCTACCTTTTTCATTGGAGAGAAAATGAACATGAAGGGCCAGTTGAAAGAAAATTGAGATGTACCTCTGCAGTTGTAGGATTAAAAGCATGTTATTTCAGAAACAAGGTTTTCCTAATTTTCTACTAAATTATGTAGTACAGTCAATAGGAGCAGTGGTGTTAGTCCTCACCTGATGTAGTGCAGCCTTTTCTTCATCATCCTTCTCCTCCCTTTGACTTTTACCTTCTGTTTTTATAGTTTAATATTTAGTGTCCAAAATCACCTCAGTGCCACCTCGGCTTTGTTGTTTACACCTAGAGCCCAGGCCTTTCATGTTTTCCAGCTGTGTGCAAGTGATTTTTCCTTAAATCTGAGCACCTGAAGGAATTGTGACCCAACCTGTCTCCCTTCGGCAATCTTCCACTTCTTCCCATGTGTTTTCCGTCTCTTATTTCAGTGTGTGAACTTCTCTGTCTGATTCACTAAGAGTCCTTTTCTTCTTCATCTTTGCACTATTGAGTTTTCCACAGCCATCTTCTCTTTCTGTCTGCACTTTATTAAAGACACTCTGTGAAAGTGACAAAATGAACTTACATTGTAGCAGGAGGAGTTATCTAGTTCAGATTTTGCCCTTCTTTTTGCAACCCTTTTCTTTCCCTTTGCTTTGTTTTGTGTGATACAAGTGATAACCTCTGGGGAAATCTGTGCTGTTATGTTCTCTGTGTTCTTTAGGAGTGAAAAGTTATGATAGAATATAAGCATTAATACAATAAAAGCAGTCAGTCATTGCATCTGTTATTTCACAGGGAGAAAATGCTGGTGACGTGTTCAATACGTTTAACCAGAGTTTGGAAGCTGTTACAGTTTTTAAGATTACATTTTCTTTCTATGTGTCCTTTTTCTCTTACCAGATATTCCTGATATCAGGCCAAGGCCGGTGTATGTCACTGCAACACGAAACAATGAAAGTGTCTATAGCACAAAAATCCCGTATATGGCAGCTCGAGTTGTTTTTATTAAGTGGCTTGTTACCTTCTTCCTTGAAAAGAAATACTTAACTGCTGTCCAGAACACAAAAAATGGAGGAGAAGTGCTCCCTAAAATTATTCAGGTGAGCTTTGGAGTTTGCCTCTCTTTTCTTATGTACATGCTAACCTTGCAGGATGATCTCACTGCACTGACAGCTGAAGCACAAAGAAATGCTACCCCATAGTGAATAAATGATGTAGGTACTTATTTGATTTTCTTTTCCTTTGACGGAGGAGGGAATCTCCAAGCAAAGCCCTTCAGTAATTCACTAGGAGTTTATTTTCCTCATAGCTTGTTGTATTACCAGCTTCAGCAGTATTATATTTAGACTTCTGGAATTTACTCTGTAAACTGTCATACTTAGTTGTGCCATGGACCATCTCCCAGTGACTTCAAAAGCTGTTTTGTTTTCATCTTGGTTATAGCAGCTGTTTACAAAGAGATATTAGAGAAGTATTTCGCTTGCAAACTGCTGGTTGAGACTTCTCTAGGATTAGAGACTTCCCACTGAATTTTAGAGAAACAGCTGCTTTTTCTCTTAAGAGACTCTCCAGTGTCCTGTCTGTGCCTTCCTCCACTCCCACCACTGCACCTCTGCTCTTTGAAGTGGACAAGTCAGTCAGCTGCTCTGGCCCATAGGAAGTGTGCAGCTTGTGGAGGACAAGACCAGAGAACAGCTCTGCCTGACTGCTGGATCCCAGCGGTTGTGCCAGGCAGTACACTGGTATCCCGAGCTCTGCCTGAGCATCCCAGAGCTTTGGTGGGTGCTGTTCCAGCCGTTCCATGGGGTGTGTTTGCTCCGTGCAGACGGTGGGGGTGAGCCAGGACAAGGCGGCGGAGCTGGAGGGCGGCGCGGCGCAGGAGCAGGACGGGAGCCACTCCAACAGCAGCACCCTGTCCGACAGGAGGCTCAGCAACGCCAGCCTGTGCAGCGTGGACGAGCAGCACCGCGGCGTCTACGACATGGTGCAGAGGATCCTGCTCTCCACCCGCGGCTACGTCAACTTCGTCAACGAGGTCTTCCGACAGGTCACTGCCCGGGCTGCTCGCTGTGGGATGGAATGGGTTTGCAGCTAAACTGGGAATAGGAAATGCTGTAGAGTTGGATCCTGTTGGTCAGGGAGAGTGGTAATCTACTCATAATTCAAAGGGACTGTTTTTTAGTATGAAAAGTGTATTTACATCTATTTCAGTACTTACATAATGCACATCAATATCGTTTTTTTAATTGGCAAAATATGCTTTTTTTGGTACCAGATGACATTTTCAGACATTGATTTCCCTGCAGTGCAAAGGTCTTTTGTCACTATTATACTTTTTTTGGTCTCCTAAGACCTGCAGAGGTATGGGGTAGCAGCCAGCCTGGGCTGTGTAAGCCTTCAGAGAGAACATCTTCCCAGAATGATTCCCAGATACACATCTTGAGTAGCGTGTTGCAAATAAACTCATTGTCTTGATTTCCAAAATTGCAGTGAACAAAGATGAGCAGTATGGGGGGGGTGTTTATGTGCATCACATCCATGTCCTACATGGAGTAAAATCAGTGAACTTTTCATTTTAGGCTTTTTTGTTGCCACCTTCTGATGTATCCGCAACACGGAAAGTGGTGAAGGTGTATCAGAAGTGGATACTGCAAGAGAAGCCCGTGTTCATGGAGGAGCCAGACAAAAAGGAGGACAGCCAGGATGCTGTTGTCCACCTGGAAGACTCCTCAGTGCAAACAGACGGTAAACATGTATGGTATCCCTGTTCCTTACTTTGTTCTGTCCACCTGCAATGCAGGGCTTAAGTTTTCACCTCGCTTTGTAAAGGAGTAACAGTTAAAAATGTGTGGGGAATAAAGGTTAAAAAATGCTTTTGTTTAAGTACTCACAATTTAAATAGTTACAGAGTGTTCAGTAGCACTTAGGGAGTGCAGGGCAGGATTGCAGCTGGTTTGGGAAACACCATTTGTGGTTATTCCCTGTGTGTACAAACATGACAGGGAGACACTAACCCTGCCAGGTTCTGCAGTGCTGAAATGACCTGTCTGCTGCCTGGGCAGGGAGGACTATTGCCTTCTGGTGGTAGTTACTGGAGACTTTGACAGTGGGTACTAACTTATATTTACTGGATGAAATATGTGCAATTGAACACCTTAGTCTAGGAAATTAAAGTGTAGCTGCTATTTCTGTGCATCATCTTTTTAATACACTGTTTTGAAGCGTCAATAAAAGTTCTTTGATGCTACTGATGCTGTTTAAAGGGATGTTTTGTTATACTGAGGAAGAAGTTTGAGTTGTAAATCCTAGTGAGGATTACAAGGTTTCAGCAGCTTATTTTTGTAGAGGATTTAGAGTTTTGCCAGACTTTAAGTGTTACTACAATCAGTGACTACAAAACATGATGTAAAATATAGTAAATAACGTGCCTTCTGAAACTTTTATGAGCCTTTAAATTCCATATACAGCCTGTTTGTTCAGAAATTAAAAAATAATAGATAGTAATTCCTCGAGGAAATGAATGTAGGTCATGACAGTTCCTCCTTTTTTGCTGTTGACCTTTTAAATGGTTTTGATCCATGTGGACACGTTCCTTTCTTCTCTGTCCCTGACTGGGCTGTGTTTGTGGCAGCTTTCCTCGGAGCACTCCGGGCACAAGCGCTCCTCCAGCTGGGGCAGGACGTACTCCTTCACCAGCGCTGTGAGCAGGGGATGTGTGCTGGAAGATGAGGACAGAGATGTGAAAGCTGGAGCCCAGGCTGCATTACAGGTGTGCTGTGTGGGAAGGGGACGCTGTAACTTCCCTGCTCGTGTAACTTGCACTGCAAATCACCTTAGAGTCTCTGAGACAAAGGAAAAGAGGTGTCCAAGCATAGAATGGCAGGAAATGAGTGGCTGGAGGAATGTCCTCTTGCCTGCCCAAACAGAAGAGACATCCACAAGCCCCATACTGAGCCCTGTCTGCCTTGGGGGGTCTGTGATGTCACGTGGCTGCTCGCTGGAATGATGTAGAAAAACAAAGTGATGGGTAAAACATGGAACTTCCCTAAGGAAAGGGAAAGGTTTAACTAGAGGAGGACAAGTATTTTATTGTAAGTCTTGACTGTTTTCCTTGCTGACACTGTGTCAATGGAGTGTCGATGCCTGTGTTGCAGGTGTTCCTGACAAACTCGGCGAATGTTTTCCTGTTGGAGCCGTGCACTGAGGTCCCGGTGCTGCTGAAGGAGCAAGTGGATGCTTGCAAAGCTGTTCTCAGTATCTTCAGGCGCATGATAATGGAGCTGTCAATGAATAAGAAGACATGGTAAACTTTACGTGGCATCATTTAAGAGAAAGTTATCAACATTTAAACTTTCTGGGACAGTTTTTGGTAGGGAACAGACTGGCTTTCTCAGGGGCAGACCTTGCTACCTAAGTTATGTTTGAGACTTGCCTCTGAGTTGATTTGAGAGATTGCAGAACCTGCTGAGCCTGCATCCTTGTACTGCTTCACTTCAAGGTTCTGGCTGGTATTTCCATTCCTAACTTCACCTGAAAAATGAGCTTTTTACAGTCCACAGCCAATGGCTAGGGTTATTTTGCAGATGATCTGTGAAGTCCAAAGTGTGACCGTATTCTCAATAAATGAGGCTTGCTGGAGAATTAATGAACAAGTACAATTAGTAGAACATGTGAACAAACGTGCAATTTTGTTTTGGAACCAGGGAACAGATGCTGCAGATACTCCTCAGAATAACAGAAGCTGTGATGCAGAAGCCGAAAGAAAACCAGCCAAAGGACACATTTGCCCAGAGCATGGCTGGGTTGCTGTTCCGAGTGAGTGAGTGGGGCTGCTTGGTTTGTGTTTCCTCATCAGCAAATTAGCTTTTAGCTAAGTGCTGTTGCACAGTGCTGTGAAACCTGCTCGTATTACTGGGAAGGAGGATTTTTTTCCTGTTTTACAAGTAATTCTTTTGTAAACTGTGCTGAATTCATTTGTCGGACCTGCCTGAAGGGCCACTTGTGTTTTCCCTCAGACCCTCATTGTGGCTTGGATCAGAGCGAACCTGAGCGTTTACATCTCGCGGGAGCTGTGGGATGAGCTGCTCAGCGTCCTGTCCTCCCTGACGGACTGGGAGGAGCTCATCAACGAGTGGGCCAACATCATGGACTCCCTGACAGCAGTGCTGGCCAGGACCGTGTACGGCGTGGAAATGACCAACCTCCCCTTGGACAAGCTCAGTGAGCAGAAGGAGAAAAAGCAGAGGGGGAAAGGTCAGTCTGTGTGCTCGGTGCTTTTTGTATCAAACAACTTAAATATTTCAGTTTAATTTTTAAAATTAATTTAACATTAAATGCTACCTAATCTAGCGTAAGAACCTGTTTAATCAAGTGTGAAGCACTTTGGATTTCTGTATTGTCATCCTTCATTGAGGAGGAGAGGTAGTTGGGGTCAAGAGTAGATAGGTAGCTGTTTGGCAGGTTTGAGTATGTGCTTACAGTCAGTGCTTTCTATGTAGCAGAATTGAAAGGTGGTTTCCTGTGCTACAGAATGTCACAGGCATCTCTGTAAAAATTCCTTTCTGTGTGTTATTAATAAACTTTATTATTTACAGTTTTTTAGCTGCACTTGCATGCCACCTTGAAATTGAGGCACAGAGTTGAAGTACCCATTGGTTTTTATTAATAGTAAAAATTCATCTGTGTTGTTTAAAGTATTAATATTTGTCATGCCTGAGTCCATTCGTCCATCAGCAAAAATACGTGCCAGAGCATCCGGTGCCAGAGAATGTTGTGTTCTTTGTCCTAAGGTGGCATTTTAGAGCCTCAGAAGACAGCAGTAGTGGGAAGATCTTTTTCATTAAGCTGGAAGAGTCATCCTGAAGTCGTGGAGCCGATGAGATTCAGAAGCGCTACAACCTCTGGGGCCCCTGGAGTCGAGAAAGCCCGAAATATTGTTCGTCAGAGAGCGACAGGTTAGACCATAGCTAAGTGCTTTTGTAGCCCTACACTCAGGAACACAAGTTTTATAGCTGCCTTTGAGGTGTGGCTGCTGCCAAAAGCAACTTAATAATTACCTGCACAAACAGGTGTTGTGTGCCTGCATCTGGATGTCTTGACCAGTGGGAGACATGGAGTCAAAATATTTTGGGAATTCGAAATGTAAGCTTTTAGCTACAGGACATTGAATTGCAAGTTAGACTTGTGCATGTTAGGGGTTTCTGTAAAGAAGTACATTGCTATTTTTATCAATTCATAAGAAAGCATATATTACCATCAGTCACGTAACAGATAACACATAGTAATGCAGGTATTTAATAAACAATTTTATCCTTTCATAGTTGCTTTATTTTCTCTCTTTTTCTTACCATGATGAGGTTTTTCTCTCAAAAGGAAAAAGGAAAGCAGGAGAAGGGAGACTGGGGTAAGGCATGCTGGGGGAAGATTGGAGACCCCAGAGATGGACCAGGTCCCTGTTTGTTCAGGCATTTCAGCAGCCTGAACCTGGCCTCTCTTTGTTTCATGGTAGCATCCTCCTGTGTGCCAGTTCACTGGCCTGTGCATCCCAGCTCTCCACAGAAATGCTCAGGAGCTGGAGCTGCCTGGCTGCACAGCTCCCTCCCTGGTTCCCAGCTGGTTGTGGTCCTTACCAGGAGAACTGGAAGGACATTCAGTGTGGTTTGTGGCTCCGGGCTCCGTAACTGAGCCGGAGCCTTCAGCTGGGATCACAGGACACTTCAGCAACAGAGTCAGTTCCTTCTCTAAGTCTGTTTTATTTTCAAACTCAGCAGATCCCAGTGTGTGCTCCAGGGGAGGATTCTCTGCTCTGCTGCTGCATTTCTCCCCTTGATGTCCCACCAGAGCAGTAGGGAAGCGTTGATCCAGGACTTTTCTTAGTTGTGTGTGTTCAAATTAAAAGTACTTCCACACTTGCTGTGATTCAGAAATCCCTGGTTATTGCCATTTCAATGTGAGAGATGCAGTCGCACTTTATTAACTTACATCTTGTGGGGAAAGCTGCTGGATTGTTTTTTTTTTATCCCAAAGCATTGTGTTTGACATTTAGAACCCAAATATTTCATTCCTTTGTCTGACATAATTATTGCTTTATTTTTTCCTGGAAGCTAAGCGAAGCCAGTCTATCAGCAACTGTGTCCATCTTTATGAGGCTTTGCCAGCTACTAAAAGTGTACCTCTTCTGCTTCACACTGTGAGCTCTCTCTTCCCTGGTCTCTCTTACACTTCTTGCTCTCACAGACTGTCAGGTACTGTACTTTAAAGTCATCTTTTATATCAATGTTCTTTATATTTTTAAACTGCTGTCTGTCTGTTCCCTTTCTGTCCAGTTGATTCTTCTCAGTCTGTAGCACTGCAGGCAATACAGCTTTTGTTCATTTTAATATTAAAGATTACCATCAATTGCAATTAGATTTATATTGCCTAGTAACTAAAGTAAAATTTCCCAAATTTCTCTTCCTGGGAGGGATTTCTGACTCCTGAGTCCTACCCGGGGCATTAGCTGCAGTAGCAAGAGAAGGACAGTTTTGTGTGTGGTGCTTTATGGCTCTGTAGGGATTCCTGCTCTGTTTGCTGTGTTTTCCTCTCAAGTTGTCTTGGAGGGGAACACTGAAATTGTTCCAGTTAGTGAATTAGGTTGATTGCTTTATTTGTTTCTGTAAGTAATTTCAAGTCAACAGTGATACTCTAAGGTCAGTAAATACCAGAAGCATTAGCTTTTGTGCCTGTGTCTCTGTGAGATAACTTTCTGAAACACTTGCAACGTTTATTAAGTAGTAAAGCAGTATTTAAACTTGCACACTGCTGGATGGGAACACATTTGATGCCGAGTGTTACTGGTTTCTTTGTTTGATTTTTGTTTGTTTTTTTTTTTCCCCCTAATACCAACAGAAATGCATTTCTGAAAGCACTGTGTTACTCCCTAATCCTAAGAGTTCCTGTTGCTCCTTCCCCAGCATGTCAGATTATTTTCTCATTGAAATTTTCATGCCTCTCTTGTGCATCTGCCTCTAAACTTTGAAACTTCCCTAAGGATATTTTAAAAAACTTAAATTATAACTTGTAAAACTTAGGAATTTTAAATATTTGCAAGGGTGACTGTTTCATAGAGCTTTCTTAGGCAGGGAGGTCACACATGTAGACATGTGTATAATCCTGAGCTCCTGCAAATATTTTGTGTTTTAATTAAATCAACAGAAGTTGAAGAATCTCAACAGCTGGAAAATTCAGAAGGAACAGAAGCTGTGGGCCCGTTTGCAGACCAAGAGCAGCAGCTGACTCGAAGTAGCAGCACTTCAGATATTGCAGATCAGATTCCATCTGATTTTTTCCAAGGTAATTTTGGTAAAATGCAGCAATAGTGCACTTCTGAAGAGAAAGTGTTGAGACTTGTTCAGTCTCATAAATGCTACTCTTATTTATTTTGGTTTCCAGCTCTCCTCTAAAATGGTTTTCATCTTATTTTCTTAGTAAATATGTTGTTGGTATCTTATTGAAAGAACTGTTTTTAATAAGTTCAAGACCAGGACTGCAGGCATGACCTTTTATAAAGCAGGGAGGATAAAAATGAAACCTGAATGTATGCATTTTTGTATATAACTCTTCAACTTTTTTTCACCTGACTTGCATTTAAATTTAGTGTATTTAAGCTGCAAGTCGAGTTCTGTTCCTCTTGTGTAAGTCTGTTATGCTTCTAAAGAATTTTTCAAAACATCTTGTATCCCATATGAATGTTGTATTGCCTCCCTTAGCTCTAAATATGAGACATGTCACTGAAATCTTCATATGATTGCTATGTAGTTTGGTACCACAGATGTGTATAATTCCTGTTTGCTTTCTACAATTTCTAGGTAAAAAGGCTGGAAGTTCTCATAATTCAACTTCAGACTCCAAATCAGTTCAGGAAAACAAGGGACATGCAAAGAAGGAGGATGAAGCTGAGCAAGTAAGGCAAAACAGAAAGCGATTATTGTTTTTCCAGATCAGATACCTTTTAGCATTTAGAAACTCTTGGAAGTGAAAGTGTGAAAAATCATTAATCACATTTCTGGCACAGAGTCTGGAACTGAGCTGTAACTGCTAATTACACTGCTCGGTGTGGGCACTTTGTGTCTCCTGATCTCGTCAGCTGCTTCTGCAGGTTTATGTAGTTCGAGTTTTCTGCAAGACTTCTGTGCTCTTTTAAAATATTAAACGTCAACAAGAAGTTCATAACTTTTAAGATATAAATAATTCATGGCTATTATAGAGCTACAGTACACTGGAATAAATGTTTGATGGTTTAAAGTACTGGGGAAAATGCTTCTCTTCAGTGCAGGTTTATCACCAGCCATGCATGGCAGATGTTTGTGTGAATTGACATTAGGACAGGCAAACTTCTTACATTTTTAATGGCAACTCTTGAATGAGCAGCCAAAACCATAAATGACTCAGGCTGTTCCTCTTTGAAATATGAAAGCTGAAAGATTTTTGGATGCTTTATAAAGTTTTGAATTATTTCAGGTGTGTTGAAAAACATAAGTAAAAGGTCCTGGTTGTTGGTGTGTAAACTGAGGTTAAGAAAGGGAGGATGAAGACTGACATGGAAAGTGTGTTTTCCCAGAGACACTTACAGACAGTCGAGTAGTCTGAATATCCATGAGAATATCTTGACTGAGTTGTAATTAATTCCTAATAACTCTCTGTGTGTCAGATTTGCTAAAATGTGATGTAGTTCTCGAAACTGTAACAGGCTGAGATGACTGTTTTTCTCGGCAGGTGCTAATACGAAGGAGCAGTAGTACAGCTGAATTAGATCTGAAAGCAGACTTTCAGCCACCGCAGGGGAATTACAGAGACAGAGAAAAAAGTGAGTTCCGAGAAACGCAGTATTTCTGTCAAGTGTAGCAGTTGAACTCAACGTGCCAACTGTGGTTGTGGCAGAGGCAGCAGCCACTGTTGTCATGGTGCTGCTGTGGCCCCTGGCCCACGCTGTGCCCTGTGCTGTGCAGGTGAGAGCGTGAGCAGCGACGCGTCCCTGGGCTGCGGGGCCGACGTGGACATCGCGCTGCTGCCCTGGCAGGCGGCCGAGGACGACCCCGACCCCGACCCCGCCGCGGCCGCAGAGCTGTGTGTGGATCCCACTGCCCCGCGCTGGCTGCAGCTCAGCCCCTCGGAGCCTGCCAACCTCACAGGTACTGCACCCACCGGGCTCGGTGCCAGCCTGGCTCTGCGTCGGGAGGGGTTTATATGGCCCGGCTGGCTTACAATAACTGAGTTATATATATTGAGAAATAGAAATAAAAGCCGGGTTTTGACTGAATACATCTCTCAGGGCACATGAATGTGCCATGGAACTGCATTTTGCCTCCCTGCTTGAAAATCCCCTGGAATGTGGACGGTCTGATCTGGAACTGCCCTGCTCTGTGGCACTGTGATATGGAGCCCCTCTGCCTCCCTTTTCTGCCATGTTTTTCTTTGAATCAGGTGCAGCTCAAGCAATGAAAAAGAGACTTGAGGGAGAGAATTGTTTTGAGATGGAAGATGGTTAGAAGGACTGAAGTTCCTGTTTTATTGACCAATTTATGCTTACACTGCATTTCTAATTTGTGGAAATGGAACATTTTACATTTGCAGACAGTAGTGAATTCCTTGCTGATGACTGCAGTATAATTGCTGGTGGAAGCCTTATTGGTTGGCATCCTGATTCTGCTGCTGTGTTATGGAGGAGGATCTTGGGAATTCTTGGAGATGTGAACAAGATACAGTCACCTAAAATCCATGCAAAAGTTTTTGGATACCTTTACGAGCTGTGGTATAAACTTGCAAAGGTATGTGATGCTTACAGGTAAGGCTAGTGACTTCTCTTATATTGTAAAAATTATTAATAAATATTATTAAATACGATTCAGTGTTAGCATCTGGAGCATGAGCATGGCATGGGAGGGTTCTGTCATAAAAGAAACTACTCTTGTTTGGTTTCTAGTCCCTGTACCTAATAGAGCATGATCCTGTCCAGCGACAAGAGAATTTAAATGGTTCACTTAAATGGGGTGAGGAAAGAGTAGCAAAGAAATTAGAAGTATAGAACAGAATACCACAGGTGTTGGTATTTGTGTAAAGGCCCACAGTGTGACCCAAACTGGTAACATTTCCTTTGGCTGGGGAGCAGCACCATAAAAAAGGTTTCCAACTTTGGCTGAAGTAGGAACTCTGTATAGTGCAGGGCATAGTGCCTGAACATAAATATAATAAGATTTAAATGTAATAGTATGATATAGAGAACATTAAAAAGTAAGCTGTCAGTTTTCTTAACACTCTTCCTTTAAAACCCTCAGATAAGGGACAACCTCGCTATCAGTGTGGACAATCAGTCGACTCCCTCTCCTCCCATCCTAATCCCTCCTCTCAGGATATTTGCATCGTGGCTGTTCAAGGTAAGTTAGTTCTAATATTCTCACACGTTTTCTGTGTGTGTTCAGTTGCGTTATTTTCGATGTTTACAGTCACTGCCGGCTAAGACAACAAACGTCCTCCAGAGGCTCTCTGGACCTGAGTGTCTGTTCATAAACACACGGAGCAGACTTGCTTTCTGGAAGAGCCGCGGGAGGGGCAGCTCTGTGTTAGCTGGCTCCCGAGGGGCCAGGGTTAACCCCAGGTGTGTGTGTCTGCAGGCAGCCACGCTGCCCAGCGAGTACAAGGAGGGCAAGCTGCAGGCGTTCCGGCTGCTCTGTGCCATGATGACCCGGCGCCAGGACGTGCTGCCCAACTCCGACTTCCTCGTCCACTTCTACTTCGTGATGCACCTCGGCTTGACCAGCGAGGACCAGGTAAAAAACTTAGTGTTATCGCTCTCAGCATGCCCTTTGGAATGCCCTGTGCCATGGCTTGCAAGGACATCCCCAGAACAAAAACAGAACCGGAATTAATGCTGTCCCCTCCAGACTTTCCCTCTTCAAGGTGACTCCTTCGGGGAGTATTTAGAAGGGTCATCCCAGCTCTCCCGAGCTGGTGCCAAGGGGGCTGAAGGGAGAACTGAGACAGAAGGTTATTGTACCACTGTAACCAAGAGGTGCTCCTGAAACATTCTAATTCTGTGGATAAATGTTGTTTCAGGTTCCTGTGTCCTGGGTTAGCCTAAACTAGTTAGAATAAAGTATTCAGTATGAGGTGAGGAAAATACTTAATCCATTGAGCTGTCAGGTGACTGTTGGGCCACAGAAACAGCTCAATGCTCATAAAAACTGCAAGAAATACTCTTTAGATAAAATAGAAAGTATCTACAAACATTGCCATGGTTTTATTGCTGTAGGAGTGAGAGCAAGGGCTGAAGCTGTGCTGGAAGTGGCAGCAGAGGGCACAGGGACCCTTGGGAAAGCCTGTGAATTATTGCTGGTGCCTTTAGGAAACCAGACAGGTTTGGTTATTTCTGAGATGGAAGAGAGAAAGAATGAATTGTTACCAGACTCTTACCCTTCAGTTGCCCTCCTAAAGTGTTAGTGTGTTTGGAAAATCTTCCTTTTAAATAGATAAGAACTGAAAGGAAAGGTTTTTCTTCTGGAAAATCCCAGGAGCCCCAGCTGCTGCTGCAACTTAGGAAAAAAACACCAGTATCTGCCATTTCTAAAGCACAAACAGGGAAAAATGGAGGTGTAGTGGGAACTCCCCTTTTTGGCACTCTGTGTGTCACCTGAGAGGGACCAACAGCTCATTCCGCTTCCGTCTCACTCCGGTCAGATCCAGCAGAGTCCCCTCAGTCCCTACAAGAGGCTGGTACCACCCGCTGGGGTCTGAGCCCTGACCTGGAACCCCCCCAGCAATAAATGCTCTCCCACCAGCCCCAGCACACTGTGCAGAGGCACAGCCCAAGCCAGAGAAGGGGCAGCAGCAGAGGCAGCCCCGACTCTGCACGTTGCTCCAGGCTTTCCTGGATGTTTTGCTGCTGCTCTTTGTTCTCCCTCCTCGCTGGGGTTTGCTGTGTCGCCTCTTGGTGGCACACTTGACCAAGGTTTGCTCGTGTGTGACTGTCCTTCCCGTTTTGTTTTCCTGAGCTATGGAGCTGGGCGAGGAGTTAACTCGCAGAGCGTTGGAGCAGCCTGTTGGTAGGAAGCAGGACCCTCACACCTGCTCCTGTATTTCCAGGAGGATTGGCACCGAGGTGCTTGCTGGGTGCTGGGACTAGTGGGACCCTGATTTAACAGAGGGCACAGGATTGCTGGAATATGGATCCCAGTATGGTTTCCAGGATTCCAGTTAGTGCAAACCAAAATAAACTTTGGTGCAGATTTTTTTAGCACAGATTGTTTTTGTTTGCTAAGCACAGACATGAATTTCTCACTTTCAAGCAATATGCACAGAAGGAAGGGGAGGAGGCGTCTCATGGAGGAATTTCCCTTCTGTGTGGATCACTGGTGCGACTTTTAGCATTTATGGGGGAAACCGCCGACAGCCCAGCTCCAGGAAGTCACCTTGACTACTTCAGAACAGCTTCTTAGGTGGCTACATAATTAAAAATATTACAGTCAGAAACCTCTTTGACCTGAATACGATTTTCAGTATTTTGGTTTGCATCAGAAGTGGCTTTTAAAATATATTTCTCTTTTCACTCCTCGCTTAAAGACATAAATGTAGGAGATTTCTGCTGTATTGTGTAGCTTTTGGTGTTGAGAGAAAAACAAAATAATGCATTTTTGAGTGTGTTATAAATGAATGCAATGTTTTTCCCAGCAAGTGCAGCCTAACTTTGCAGCCTGGTCTCATGGGGTGCAGAAAAGAGCAGTGTGAGGGTGTATTTTAGAGGAGGCTCCCGTGGCACTCTGAGTTCAGGACATAGCAATTAGCTCAGCAGAGGAGACGGTGGGGTAATGAGCTGCAGCTAATTTGTCCATGTGGAAGCGTCTAACAACAAACACCTCTGGAGAAGTGAACAATTCCTTGCAAGAATTGCATCACCTTTCCAGGTGGGAGAAGCCATTGCATCATTTTGAACCCCAGTCTGGAGCTGGGATTGCCTCCAGCCAGGGAGGGGCCCAAGGTCAGGGGGCAAGGGACCATCTGCGGGTGGTGCTTCCCTCCTGCCCTGCTCCACACAGGCACTGCTCTGCTGCTGGAGGGAGCCACGGGCTTTTCCTGGGTTTTGATGAATGAAGCTCACTGAGGTTCACAACCTCCCTTCCCTGACCTCCAGCACGAAGGAAACAGTTTGGATGTTCACTGCCACATTTGGGGTTAGTGGCAGTTGTTTACCTACAGCTGTTTCAGTTCCTCAGGATTACTGAAAATCAGGAAATATTTCTGGGATGTGGTTTTTAGGGATACCAAGGGATAACCTGTTGCAGTTTGGGTAGGCGTAGCTGCCTTCTGCTGCCAGGTGAGCCTGATGGCTGGAAAATTCCCATTTCGGGGACTGCTATCCGTGTCTTTTGATTCGGACAGTAGGTACGGCTTTTTAGATTAACCCAAAATCTAACACTGCAATGCACAAATTTCACAAATACCTGAACTGGAAAAGGAAATGTATTTTATTATTGCTCTTTTATTATTGCTACTGGCTGCTTACTGTAGCAGTAGTTTTTGCTTCATTTACCTGAAAAAGTCCCTTAGCATCTCCTTGCTCCATAGCTTCCTCCTTTTTGCTGAAGAACCAAAGGACCAAAACACAATCCCAGAAAGCTACGAGCACTACTCAGCCCCCTTCTCAGAAAAGCAGCTGTTGAGATAATTGTGATTCCTCAGGTCTGGTCCTTCTAGCACTTAAATCATCCTCTGAGGTTGCTGGGGGTTTTCTCCTTGGAATCCTGTGGGTTTTTGTGATGCCACCTTGTTTCTGTCCAAGTTTCCACTCTCAGTCTGAGAGGAGAGCGCAGTGCAGGGGAGGTGCTACCTCTGCAAAAGAGGCAGCAGGTTTGCAATGCCTTTTCAGCTTTCAGACCCTCAGCTGTTCAGTGTCATTTCTTTAGTGCCACCCTACTGTGAGGGTGAGCATCACTTACTGTGCCTGGTGTCCCCTGTCACCAGCACCGAGGGGTCTCCCAGTGCTCAGAGGTGACCTGCAAGGTGAGTAAACGGGTCAGTTGTCACCCTGACTTCGGAAGTGAGTTTTAACAAGTGACTTTAATAAATGTACAGTCACACTTACTTGCCAGAGCATCTTTGGAATAGGATGCTTACGTGTTTAAGGAACATAATAAAATGTAGAGAGTTCAGAGATTCTCTGTGGCGAGGACAACAAACAGCCAGGGAAGGAGACACTGCGGTGGCTTTTTCAGTTCAGTGATGTGAAGGGCAGAACAAACTTTAAATATGGAAGCAGAGAAACCCAGCCCAACGGAGCTGGCAGATGTCCTGGGTGATTAAATGTCAGCACATGCAGCAGGCCTGCTCAGAGCCCAGCCTGGCTGCAGCCAGGGCACTTAACAGCTTTGTTTGTAGCTCCATTCCTTTTAGTAGTGAAAGGATGACGTGGATGAAATGCTCTGTCAATAGAGATGGTGATGTGCTAGTGGACGTTATGTGTCTATAAGCCTCTTTATTTGTTTAAAATGCCCTGTTGGTAATTATGGAAAGGAAGCTGCAGCAGCTCTGTATAAGCTCATGTAGAAACACTGACTGGAGCTGTTGGTGTGGGAAATGGCTAATTTATAATAGGAAGCATTTTTCAGTAGAGCTGCTAGTGGAGAAGCTATATTAATTATTGTTTGTATTAACATTGATCTGACTTTTAATAAAGAAGTATTTGTGGGCTTTCTGTACAGTTGTTACTCGGCAGTCAGGAGCAGTGTACAGCCTGTAGGCTGTCACTGGGACCTGTAATAGCCTTCTAAAGGTACAATAAATAAGTACCTTTGCTTTTGTCCCCCACGGAATGGGTACTTCTTGCCCGGGTTTCTGCCTTATGGTGTTGCACACAAGGACCCTTAGTTGTACAGAAACCATAAAGCTGTTTAGGTTCTTTCCCAGGCTGCCATTTAAAAGGAAATAATCTTAATATAGTCTATTAAGGCTTAGATTCCCCTATTTTAGCTTCTTGAGACTTCTTTCCAATGGCTACCATGATTTTCTCCCTCTTTTAATCTCCCCTTACCTCATTTTCTGTAGAAAATTTGCCAGTGTGCCCCCATTATGTGCTTTGAGTGCTTTGAAAAAGTGTTAACAGACAGCATGTTTCCAGTAGGGACAAACAAAAGTCCAAATGCCAGGATCTCACAGGAACTCTCACATCCCCCTCTGCTCACCCAGAGCAGGGGAAGTGGGACGTGCTGGAGAAAATAGCTGGAAGATTGACTGAAAGCAGGGAGGAGCCAGGTCATGGCAATTGTGGGAGCTGTGTGCTCCAGAATGATTTTGGTAGTTTCTGTTTATTTTGCTTTAATACATTTGCCCTTTCTAAATTGCTTCCATCCCACTCGAATTCCTGTTTTGTAGTCAGTGTTCTGTCTGTGGGACAGTTTGGAGCAGTCCTGCCACAGGCATTTGGGAGAGATCCGTGTGGGGACGCAAAGTCATCTCCACGTTGCAGGCGGTGCCCTGGCCTTGGCACCCACACCTCTGTCCCTGTCTCCAGGGAGCGCTCAGGAATTGCTCTCTTAGTGGGCAAGAACCAAAATATTGCTTTCAGTCCTTAATGGTTGCCTCAGTTGTAGCAAGTGCAGCTTGTCTGGAGGTCAGGTGTTAACTGACACCTTGGAATGGAGTTTTCTGATGAGCTCATCCTGGGTTTCCTGAGGTTGTCAAATTTACTTGTTAAATTTTTATTGGAACTTAATTTTTGACGAGTTAACTCTTGCCTAAAATGTAACGGTAGGTAGGAAAACTTGGAGTAAGTAAATGGAAGTATTTGTTCCTTTAAAGTAAGAAAGGAAAAGGGAGGACTTACCACTTAAGTCTTTTGTAAATTAATAATCTTTCCCGTGCTGTAAATCTCAGCCGCTAATGAGGTGTCTCTCAGTGAGGAACAGAGTGAACTTTCAGTGCAAAATCCATGTTGTTCCTGTTGAGAGACAATTGGAAACGTGAGGAAGGCAGCTGGCAGGCTATTTGGTTACACCTGTAATCTGCAAAAGCTTGAACAAAAATTAGGTGAAGAATATTTCTGCAATTGACCTTTCAGTGAACTTGCATAAATTTATTTTGCTTACTCAGTGGATGTTTATGACCTTATAATTTGGATTACTAGATTAACCTATACTGAAATATGATGCCATTTATAGGGTTAATGCATTTGAGGAGGATATGCATGTGATTGCCCCTTCCTCTCCCCCTCTCCCCAGCTTTAACACTACAGAGCATCATTTTGAATTGAAATAGTCCATAATGGTCCTTTTTTTCACTTTTCTTTAACAACATGAACACTAAATTATAGCTGTGCAATTATGTAAACAATGGAAATGCTTCCAGAATGAATACTTCCTTTTAAATTTTCATTTTGTGTAATTGCTGAAAGGTTCGGAGCCATAATAAACCAAAATGATTTTACACATTTATCGTTCTAAAGGTCAATTATGAAAGAAGTAAAGAAACAACACTGTGCAGAATGAGTAAACCAATTTCCATGGCCATCACCATATGTTTTTCTTATGGCTTGTGTTTTCCAGTTGCTGTGTACATAGCATTCAATTAAAGTGATTCATTGACTAGGCTGGAGCTGCTGCCCAGAGTTTACATTTCCAGACCCGCGCTCGGGAGGGAAGGAAGCGCCTGGGCTCTGTTTGGATTACCTGATTTTGCAGTATCACTGATAGCACAGATGTTCTCGCTCCCTCGCCTTCTCACAAGCCTCACTCTGCTGATAAGCTCCCAAAGCTACTGAATTACTGCCTGAAATCCTGTTTTATTGTGAGCTGGGTCGTGCAGGGAAGTGTGCAGATTGGGAAAGGGGGGAAAACCTGGCGGGATTGCCTGTGAGGTCCGTCCTGGCGTGGTTCTGTCCATTTGCTGTGCAGTCACATCCAGCAGAAGGCCAGTTCCATAGCCAGGATATATTCTGCCTTGTCTTAGCTTAAGTGAAGTCACTCAGACCATCTGAGTGCACACTGGAATGCCTGAGATGAACCATAGCAGTGGGAACAGCCCGGCAGAGTGGGTCGGTCCAGGCCCTGTGTGCATATCACAGCATGCAGCCCATGCTGGGAATTCAAAGGGAAACTAAGGATTGGTTCAGTAGCTTTTCAAAGTAAAATTTTCAAAGGTTTCTTACTGTAGAAAATGATTTTTTTTTTCCCCCCTAGTAGTAGTGTATCCCATAACCAGCAAGTAGATCCCTACAGGCCCATTCCTCCAGCATTTAGGAATGTGTGTGTAGTCTCAGCATTCATATATTAAGGTAGCAGTTGCGTGATTCCATCTTTCTGCTCATTTTGGAAGTGTTCCGTGCAGGGCCCGGGGTGCAGGGGCTCTGCCCGTTGCTGTGTGTGACAGATGGGAGCGATGGGCTGAGGACAGGAGTTAATGCAGTTGTTGGGAGCAGGTCCCGGTGCTTCCTGGCCAGGTTATCCCGGGCTGCTTTATCGTGGCACATGTCAACAGACGTGTGCTCCCATCTGCTGCCCGAGATTAGGACCAGCCTGAGCCGTACCTGGCCCTGCTGGGCAGGTGTGGCTGTGCCGACCAGCCCCGTGTGCTAATCAGGCCCTTAATTAGAAAAAGGTGGGTCCTTTGTTCTGCTCCGACTGTGAGTTTACCACCCGCTTTATGAGCTGCTGCATCCATCTGCTCTGCATTCTCTGTGTTTGCATTGACCCATATTGACTTAAAAAGTATCAAAGGAAGTGATTAAAACTAGTTTAAACATTAACTCGGGTAGCATTTTAGCTTATTCAGGAAAGTGAAAGCATTATCTGCTACTATGTTTAAAACTAATACTATTTATTTAAAATATATAGCAGTTATTTCATCAGATGTTGGTGTTAAAAACACTTAGTGGAACACTAAATAGGGGATGTGCAGATGTTTAGCGGGGCTTTGATAAAATAGTGGTGATCTTAAAGCATCTCTTCATGTAGAGAAAATTGGGTTTATCAGCTTTAGCTTCTGCTGTAGAAATTGAGCACATGGACACATTCTGGGACTCCAAGTTCAGGCCTTCTTTAGCACATCATAAAACCATAAGGGTGGACGTGGAAAAATTCCTTTGTAACCTTCCTTCAAAATTTTAGTGAGTGAAAAATAATTTTCTACTCAGCATAGAAATAGCTTGATCTAACTCTTCAGCAAATACAGTGTTGCAGGTAAGGATTATATAGATTTTATGCCTAATTTTAAACCTGCTGAAAGCTTGCGGCAAGAAAATCTTAACTCAAATGCAGGAACTTTGCCCTGATTTGGAGAGACTACGAAGTCTTGAAACGTGGAAGGATTGAGATTGAAGTGCTTATCCTCGCCCATGCTCTGTGTCACAGGGATGAGCAGAGCTGGGGGTGCTGGTCTGTTCCTTCAGGGCACAGGCAGCATGTGTTGGCGTCCGCTTGTGTTCTTGTGGCACAGAATTTTGAGTGAAGCAATTTAGGAACTCACTCCTTTGGAGTGCTGCAATACCTCATCTTAAATCCATTAAAGGTTTGGATGTTTTGAATCCAAAGACTTACTTAGCAGAATGGTTGTGCTTAGGCACACAGAGAGACATGGGTGTGTGGGTTGGGTTTTTAACAGGAATTTAAGAGTAGAAACCTTAACCAAAACACCCAGTGCACTTTTGCTACTCCATGCATCTGGTGATAGTTACATGACAGTCAGTTTGCACAAAGAACCGTGGGGCTCTGTGAGTTTGCACCTTGACTAGCGTGGGACTGGTGAACCTCAAAGTTAAATCTTCTCAAACTCTCCCTTTTGCTTTTGGGCTCCTTCTGTGGGTTATTTTTGTTTTGGCTTATTTCTTCTCACACAGGTAACTTCTCTTGCAGGATATCCTGAACACCGTCATAAAGCACTGCCCACCCTGGTTTTTCTTCCTGGGCCTGCCTGGGTTCACGATGCTGATCGGGGACTTCGTGGCGGCGGCGGCGAGGGTGCTGCGCGCGGACACGCTGGAGGTAACGCGCTCATCGCTGCCACAGGCGGGCTCCTGGGGCCATGGCACGGCAGCTGGTGTGGGACATGGTGGCACAGGCTGCCCCCCTGCTATTGCAAAGGTGTTTCATCAAAAGGCCAAGGTGTGAGGAACCCTCTCCTGGCTGCTGTTGCAGCAGTGCTTTTTCCCTCAGCCCTCAGAGTCTGATCAACCTGGTGGTTGATCCAAAGTTTAAAGTGCTAATAAGAAATGAATACTCAACTTTCCATGGAAAAAAACAAACCAAAACATCACCTTCCATTTCTCCTACGAGCGTAAAACTGGGTGTTCCTTGTATTTTCAATATTGCATAGTAGTTAATGTGTTTCTACCTCATGCCATGGTGCTTTCAATGGTTTTACCGAAGTAGGGCTCTCTCTGCACATTGGTATCATCTGTGCAGTCAGGATGAGTGCACTGTGCACTTTGTGTCACAGCATCACGAATAGCAGTGCTGGATTAGTGCTTCAGCCTCTCACTCAGCTTTTCTTAGGTGGTTCTGTACTTCCAGTTAATACCAAATGGCTGATTGTTGTGTTGGGTAATGACAGAGGAAGTGTTAAAAATGTAGAATGTGCTTAGGAGCAGGGCCAGATGCCTGCTGGAGGAGCAGCTCAGCCTCACAAAGAGAGCAGGGCAGCACAGCAGCAAAAAGCACGGGCAGGAAGGTGTGTATTAGTCACTGCTTTCATACAGCTGTTGCTGGGGCTGTAAAAGAAAAGGTCCTGGGACACTTCAGTGCTGCACTGTGAATCCAGCACTCTGAGTATGGCAGTGCATCCTGACCTCAGAGCTGATGGCATCTACATGTGTGAAGGTTTTTCTAATTAATATTTCTCTTTACTTGCCCTCATTAGGCTCCCCGTTCTGAAGCTCACACCATCCTTGGTGCTCTCGTGTGCTTTCCAAATACCTACCAAGAAATCCCACGGTTGGGGCCCATTTCAGAAGCCAGTGAGATCAGCACAGGAACTGCAGATGTGAAGGTAAAGCCCCATTTCATTGTAAATCCTTAGGTAACCTATCCTATTTTTATTATTCAGTTACTTAATTCTTACTGTGAGTTTTTTGTTAAAAAAGGATCCCTTCCTTCTCCTCGAACCCCACAGCTGCACATTACATGTGCTTTGCTGAGCAGTGCTTTGCCTGACATGTGCCATAACATTAACAAAACTTAGATACTGCAAATTCCAGTTGGATTTTCAAGGAGAGCGAGCTGGCTGTGATCAGATGCCATGTTTTTCCAGCCAGATGCCGTCCAGGCCAATTCATTAAATAGTGTAGGTGGTATTTAAAGTGTCCATTCATTGTACCTGTGTCCATTAGCTCATCCTGTAAGAGATGTGTGGGGTGTGTAAGGGTAGAGATTTTTTGCCTTATTGCTATTTCAGTAACCAGAGGAGTGCAGGAACCCCTTTGCACACTGGGCACCCATTCTTGCTTTCTTCATCAGGCCTTGGAGAGTCACTGGAGGCGTGTTAAAACTGTCTCAATTTTAGAATTGGCTTTTCTGTACTTAAAACAGAAACACTACAGTTTGTATGAAGTGACCTCCACTCATAGTTTGTAAACACCCTTCCACTGAAAATGAATTGATTTCTGTCTTGCTGCCTGTACGTGAGTTCATGAGTTGTAGGTCGATTCAATTTGTCCACAAGGGCCTGTGTATTTGAGTTGTAATTGGTATTTCTGCCTTGACAAAATACAACTGGCATGTGGTAAAGATGCTTTAAGAACAGATTGAGGATTAAAGTGACTTCACTTGTAACTATGTAAAAATTAACTTTAAAACAGAGGTATGGAAAAGATGCTTATTCTAATTTACTTTGTTGTTTTAGTGTTGCCTCATAAATATTTTATTGAAGAATGCTACAGAGGAGCCAAGTGAAGCTGCAAGGTAAATTGGGAAAATCATGGAATTGTTTGGGTTGGAAAAGATCTTTAAGATTATCAAGTCCTTGAGTTGGAAAGTCTTTCTTGCTACTTGGTTTTGGTGCTTGTCCAGCTGAGGTGTTGCTACTGCCTTGTGGTTTGGTCCTATGAAGCTGAGCTCCACTCTGCACCATAAAGGTGCAGGCCTGTTGTGTGAGAGGGAAAAGAAAGATCTTTGTGCATTTTTTTTCTTTTTATTACTTTTTTTTCCCCCTCTAAATGTTCTTCTAAAACTTGTGACAAAACCACTCTTCCTTTTACCAAAGGTGCATAGCCATCTGTGGCCTGGGAGTGTGGATCTGTGAGGAGCTCACGCAGTGCACAAACCATCCCCACGTGAAGAAGGCCATCAATGTCATAGGTGTGACACTGAAGGTATTGCTCTGGCGGGCCCCAATCAATCAGCATTGTGTAAAAACAGGCATTTTCACCTTTTAAAGAGCTGATGATGATCTGGAGCACAGTCTGCAGGTCTGGTGTCCTATACAAATCTGCAGAATATTTGCAAAAATAGCATGTGCTTGTGTACCTAAAGACCCTTTCCCCAGCAAACTGAGTTAAAATCACACAGACAATATCAAACCTGCTGGTTCCTAATGCTGACAAGATGATTTCACAGCATTAACGTTTTTTATTGTTTGTGTAGATGCAAAATAATTTAAAATGTAGAAAAACTGAATGTGTTGTATTGTACGTGGATATTTTATTTGGCTTTTAATCACCTTTTTTTTTCCAGTTTTCCAATAAGCTGGTAGCTCAGGTAGCCTGTGATGTTCTTCAGCTGCTGGTGTCTTACTGGCAAAAGCTTCAGGAGTACGAATCCTCCCTGTGCCGGAAAATCACTGAAGTACGTCAGACTCTTTAAAATGTTTGTAGGGAAATCGTGTGCAAAGTTGTTTTAATTCCTTCCTTGAGTTGCTATGATTTGTGAACTCCCTTCTTCTGCAGATATTGTTAGGGATGTAATTGCTGCAGTGCCAGGACCAGTGTATGTCCCATGTTTGCAGGGACTTGTTTTCAAAATGCTCAGTAAATCATTGTTTCACTTGGACATTGATTGACACAGGCACTTGGATGCTCCTAAGGGAACTGAACCTTTTCCATACCCTGTGCACATGAAGTCCAACTCTGTCTTTATAGTGAAAGAAGTTAAGTGCCTTTCTGACATCTGTTTGTTTGGCTGTAGATCCTCGTGGCCACCATTGCCTTCCTTTTGCCGAGTGCCGAGTACTCCTCCGTGGAGGCGGATAAGAAGGTGCGTCACTGACAAGAGCTGCCTCCATTCCTTCTTTGTGCTGTTAGAGGTGCTTTTTAAATGAAGTCACTTTGAACCAGAGCTGTAAACTTTCCAACCCCTCCCTTGAAGTTTGGGTGAATTCAATGGAATGTACCTAAATACCGTGTTCCATGTCCTTGTTCAGTTCATTGTTTCCCTGCTGCTGTGCCTGCTGGATTGGTGCATGGCACTGCCCATGAAAATGCTGCTGGAGCCTGTGTCTGCTGGTGCTGTGGAAGATCATCACGCATCCAGAGCTCCTTTACTGGACTACATTTACAGAGTGAGTATGGAAAGGAAAGTGATTTACTGTGTCTGGATGTTTAGAGATGCCTTTCACACACCCTGGTAGGCACAGAAGCAGTTTTGGCAAGCTCTAGAAAATCGCGAGTTCTTGCAATGCGGACAGAAGTCGTACAGGTGAGAAGTACGGATGCAAAATGTTAAGAAGATAAGATTAGAGATGTAGAACAGACAGAGGGTGGTGAAGAGAAAGATAAAATGCTTAAAACAACAAGTCGGGGAAGATAATCTTTGCAGAAATATTTGAAGTGGGTTGTTGAAATACAAAACAAGTCCTGAAGTGAGCTGTTAAAGTATAGAATCAGTGCAGATGGTGAGTGCTAATTTAAAAATGCTGTACTTGGCCACAGATGGTTTTTGTAGCATGTCCTGGTTTACAAAGTCAGAATTAGGAAGGGGCACTGCTCCCAGGGTGTGTTGGGGCCTGTCCTGTGGGGTTTATTTCTGCTGCAGTGTCCCACTGTCCCCTGGCAGGTCCTGCACTGCTGTGTGAACGGCTCCAGCACGTACACGCAGCAAAGCCACTACGTGCTGAGCCTGGCCGACCTCTCCTCCTATGACTACGACCCCTTTTTGCCACTGGGGAACGTCAGGAGCTCGGAGCCAGCCCAGTGCCACTCCTCCACAGATTTGGGCAACCTGCTCACTGTTGCTGAGGGTAAGAGAGCTCACAGAGCGTGGACCGGCTGTGGGGATGCGGTAAAATAAAACAAAAGTGCAGGACAGGTAGAATTCCTTGGAAAGCTGTTGTAAATAGTTCCTTGAACAGGAAGGCTTGGGAAGACAACTAAAGCAAGCAGCTGCAGTGTGACAGAAATCCACAGTTGCTCTTTTTGAATTGTCTCTTGCTGCTCTTACTGATCCATTATCTTTTCATTGATGGTTTCAGAGAAAAGGAGGAGGAATTTAGAATTGATACCTCTGACAGCGCGGATGGTGATGACTCACCTGGTGAATCACCTGAGCCACTACCCGCTCAGCGGAGGCCCTGCCATTCTCCACAGCCTCCTCAGTGAGAACCATGACAACTCCTATGTGGAGTCCTCTGAGCTGTCCTCGGAAGTCTTCCGGAGTCCCAACCTGCAGCTCTTTGTGTTCAATGACAGCACTCTCATATCTTACCTCCAAATCCCTGCAGAGAAGAGGGCGGGTGCTGAGCCGGCAGCAGCCCCCTCGGACGTCAGGGTGATCGTCAGGGATATCTCAGGGAAGTACTCTTGGGATGGCCGGATACTGTACGGCCCTTTGGAGGGCTGCCTTCCTCAGCGGAGCACCACCAACACCTTTGTGATCTCCAGCAACCCCGAGCACCACTTCGCTTCCCAGAACGACATTTCCCAGGCAGAGGAAGGAGAAGATGCTCTCGACCAGTTGCTGGAGAAGATCGGTGCCACCAGCCCCGAGTGCCTTCTGCACCCCCAGCGCAAGCTGAACGAGCCGGCGCCGCCGCCCTGCGGGATGAGCTCCGAGCAGGAGCGGGCCATCATGGAGGCCCTGATGAGGCAGAGTGCCCAGGAAAGGGAGTTCATCCTGAAATGCAGCTCGGACTGCAGCATGAAGGTGGCCCGCCAGGAACCACCACGCCCTGCTGAGCCTCAGGCCTCCTTTTATTTCTGTCGGCTGTTGCTGAACGACTTGGGAATGAACTCCTGGGATAGAAGGTAGGGAGAGGGGATTCAGAACACATTTACAGTACTCTTAGTCTTCTCACTTCTTACCCCCAAATGTGTACACACTTAAGAAAACAAGATTTTTAAAAATCACGTCATGTTAATTTGATTCACTTCACTTAGGTATTTGGATGACAAAATACTGTGTCTGTATGGTGTTGCATTTGCCTTCAAACCTTTTTTTATTTTTTTATTTTTTTTTTTTTAGAAAAAGCTTTCACTTGCTTAAGAAAAATTCAAAATTGCTGCGAGAACTGAAAAATCTGGATTCCCGCCAATGGTAGGTGATGTGTTCTGGACACAACATTGATAAGGTTTGTGTTTCCCAAGGCAGAATGAGTGAGTCACCAAAACGAAAGCTCTCCTGCCATTGCCTGTGCCAGCAATACAAATATTAGTATGTAAGATGGATTGTTTGTTTCTCCAGAGTTCTGCAGCCCGAATGGAGAAGCTGTCTGCACTGGCACTGTGTACAGCCAATTCCAAATCAGTAGCAGATAATAAGACAGAGTAACCTATTTCCAGTTTGCTTAGCTGAGAAGGGAGGGAAGAAGCTCCCAAATAGTTTGTGACCTTAGTTCAGCTGACACAAAGGACCATTTCTCACAGGATGGTCCATGTCAAGAGCAGTACTTTAAGGGGTGATCTCCCCAGAACTGCTCCCCAGCCAGGAAGTGGCAGAATGGAGTTCTGAATGTTATGTTTTATTTTTCATTACTGGACATAGAGCTATTTGAAAAGCCTCTGCAGCACTGCATCCCAACAGTTTCCATATCAAATCCACTTTGCTGTTTTTCAAAGAAGCCAACTGTCTCTGTCAGCCTTGTAAAACTCAGCCCAGGATCTAAGAGTCAATAATGTTTCTTTCTCCTTGTATGTCATCACCCTGTAATTAAAATTCTGTAGGTCAAATTATGCTCCCATTAACACCTGTGCCACCTCCGTCTGTGGCAAAGCTGCACAGCTCTGAGTCATTAACCCTGTAATTGGAACTTGGTCACCAGGACTGTGGCTGATGCACAGAAGGACCAGCCTTGGCTCCTCTCTCAGAACTGGGGGGTCTCTGCAGCGGGAGGAGGGGAAATGGGCAGAAATCAATTTCTGCGGCTGAAAGAGAGCAATGGACTTGTGTGCAAAAAAGAAATGGATGCATGGACTTAAATGTGGGCACCTGCTCATAGCTCTGGAGTGCAAGGGATCTAAAAAATAATTTTGAGCTGAAACTTCTTTAATTTGACTTCTTTTTGTGTCCCTTTGCAGCCGTGAGACTCACAAGATCGCCGTGTTCTACATCGCCGAGGGACAGGAGGACAAGTGCTCCATCCTGGCCAACGCCAGGGGAAGCCAGGCATATGAGGATTTTGTAGCAGGACTGGGCTGGGAGGTAATAGCCATAAATGTAGGCAAACTAACACGTTGCTAATGTCACTGCATAGTTTTTAATTCTCATTAAAAGAAGATAAATTCACTACACACTGATATTTAGCTGCTTTTAGCTCTTGATGTGGTCAGAGCACACTCTCACCACAGGAGCTTCTTCATGAAGCTTTTGGGTATTATTTGCCTTGTCAGAATGGTGTGTCATAGTCTAAGTGCCACGAAAAGTTATGGGTTTGGGAAATACAGAGTAGCTGCATGTTAAGGATCGAAGTTTCACAAGGCTCACAGGGAGAGGCACCATCCTGAGGCTGGTGCCACTGGGAAAACAAACAATCCTTTGGACTCAAGCTGGACTTCAGAGAGGCATTTCTTCTGAATAAGCTTCTGGAATAATTTCTTCTTAAGGTTTTTCTTTCTGTACAAGTCTTAAGTTTCTTCTGCAGTTTTTCTGGTTCTTTCTCTGCCCTTTGGGAGGCTCCTGGCACTGGGAGGTCTGAGCCCTTGGAGGAGCAGCACGTGTTGCTTCCTTGCTGCTTTTTGCTGTAGGAAGGTAGAATCACCAGATGGATACTGGCTCAAGACCTGGTTAAGAGACATTTGCTTTTAGTGAGTGTCCAATACAGGAAGGGGAAAGACAGATCTAACAGGAGGATCACAAAGCTTTAAGGGAAGATTTCTCTAGGATGGCTGCAGAGTCCTAGAATGGTAAATTCATGAAGTCTTGATATAGAAATAAATACTGATAATTCATCAGTCTTTTCAAATTTTCTCTAATCCTGCCTTTCAATCCCTCAGGTGGATCTCTCCACGCACGGGGGTTTCATGGGCGGCCTGCAGCGCAATGGCAGCACAGGACAAACTGCTCCCTACTACGCTACCTCCACCGTGGAGATCATCTTCCACGTGTCCACCAGGATGCCCTCGGATTCGGACGATTCGCTGACCAAAAAGGTAAAGAATGTGCGGTGTACTGCACACTCTGCAAGTGCTTAAATGGAAGTTTGAACTGAAAGCAGCTTGTGCTAACTGGCCCTGGCATCCCATCTTTGCTGTGCCACATGGTGCTCTGCAGCTGGATTATCTGAATTAAATGGCATCTAAATTCTGGGTTCTGAAACACAATTAACATTTCCATGGTAGCCTCAAATACCACCATGAGTAATAATATTAGCAATAATTTCATTTGTATGTTGTCTGCCTGCCAAAGCTGTTGCAGGTTGGTAGAACAAAACAACCAAATGCAGCATAATAAAACCTTCCAGACCAATCATCCTGCGTGGAACAGCAAAGCAAAAGGGAGGTGACAAGCTCTGGACCCAAGGCAGTCACAGCTGATAGCTAAAGCCAGTAGCCACTTAAGCACAATTCTGACAAGCAGCCTCTGCTTCAAAGGCAGCCAGAACCCAGCCCAAAACTTTGTTGGTGTCTGTACTTAATCTTTGTCTTTCCTAACAAGGAGTGATTTGAGATTTTGGTGCTTGCCAGCTGCTGCTTAGAGTCAAAGAAGATTTTAGGGACATACCAAATCTCTGCCTTTTTAATTAGGATTGGCAACTTGTTCTGCAGAGGTTGTTAACGTGCATCAGTAATGCTGCTGAGGCTATCCAGTGCACCAGGGGATACTGCTGTGCTCTGAACATTGTCTACAAATGTCACTGAGTGACTATTTAGTGTCCAGTTGGTTTCAGAATCACATGGGCTTTTCCTTTAAATATAAAGGTGAAATTTTTGCTTACTGGTCCTGAAAAAATTGCCCAGCATTTCATAGTAAAGCCAGATCTTTTCTTTTTTACTGGGATATCTGTCATTTTAAAAAAAAGTCAGTAAAATTACGTTTCTCTTTTTGTATGCAACTCATTATCTTCATATCAGTGGATTTACATGGCTATGGGAAAAATGTAATCTGAGTTCTTGAGGATGGAGAGGTAGGGCAGTGGGACATAGTGGGGGGCTGTAGAGTCTGTGACTTTACCGGGGTAGGACTTTGTGTATTTTTATTGTTCCTGACCAGTATTTGTCCAGCTGCTTGCTCAAAACTCCAGTGATGAATGATTTAGTTTCCCTAGGCAACATATTCCTACGCTCCACTTCTTGTACTGTGACACAGTCTCTTGCACCATCTACTTTGCTTCAATTTAAGCTCATTGATTCTCCCCTATTCCACATGGATATGGAGGGCAGGCTGTTTTGCTGCAGACTTATGCATGTCTGAGAATTGCTGCCATGTCTTTCCCAGACTTACTTGTCCTACAGAAATTGTGTCTGTTTAGTCTGATCTTCCCTTGTAAGTCCTGGCCTCCTGGGTTTTGTGGAAGCCTAGCAAAGACACTGGGATATGATCTGGCTGTCAAGTAATACATCATCTGGGAGAGCAGAGAGCATAGTGATGGAGCTACCACATGGGGAGAGATGGGGTTTAACTGCAAACAGTCTATTTACTAGTTCTCCTGGTTCCCACCCGTGTTAGGGGTTATCACAGACACTGAGAGTCTGGTTATTCTATTTAATTGTCTTGCCTGTGTTTGCTCTAAGAGAATTCCTTCTTTGTGAGAAACAAAAAGCAAAAGCATTTAGTAGCTACCAGTCTCCAAGTCTTGCACTGCCAGAAAACCAGGCCAGCTCCAGCACATACTATCCACAGAAAATACCACAAAGGAATTGCTCTAAGTCTTTTTTAAAGAAACCTGAAATCCGCTATAGGATCCTGCAGGGATCAAAAACTGTGTATTCCTGTACAGGACAAAGCTCTGAACAATCTCATGGATATCAGGAGCTGCAGGCACGGGCTTGGACCAGATGACTTCCAGAGGGCTTTTTAACATGGATCTATCTTCTGCACACAACGGGTTCAGTTTGTCACAGGTCTGTCGTGAGCAAACGTGGTTCTGTGCAAATGAGCATAGGCTGTTAGCAGATCTTACAGAACTGCAGCTCTAAGGGGACAGAAGGTGCATTTCAGAAGCACTGCAAAGTTTCTGGAAGATGAACAGTTCTCTCATGCTTTGGAATGCTGATGGATGGACTAGCCTGCATTTGAGCATGGCTGACTATCCAAACGGAAGCCAAACCACTCCATGATTCTGTGATTCTGCAGGAGCTCTTTTCACCCAGAAAGCATTAATGTCTTGGAATGAAGACATTGTCATATCCTGGGGATACAGGACAGTGTTATTGGGAGGAGGAAGTTTTATCTGGTTGCCAGTCAGGATGCAATGGGGGCACAACTTTTTTCTTGCCCTCCCCTTCCTTCCATCAGATGCTGTCTGGGGTCTCAGGTGCCCCTTATCTCTGAAATCTGTGTGATTTCTGGGGTTCTTTGCTTGTTTTGCCTCAGACCCACCGAAAGGCTCCAATCCTGTCAGCGTGCTTGGCTCGTGCACTCCGGGCTGAACAGAAGGACTGACCACCTGCTGGCCTGGGGAGCCCTGCAGCAGCCCATAAATTCTGGGGGCTGGGGAATTAAGCAGATGCAGTAATTTTACTTAAATATGTTATTGTGGTTTTTGTTTTTACTGAACACAGGGATAAAGTAATTTCTGGTATAAATTCCCAAGAATAAGTCCACGTTCTCTGAGGATGAACTTGACCCCTTATTTTTGTGCAGCAGAGTTCTGATTTGTAGTTTGTATTTCTTTATTTGAGGTATATGCTGACATATTATATTGCTAATTCAGGGAGAAAGAAAAAAAAAATGAAAGAAAGAAACCCTCTCTAAATAAGTCTTGGCCCTGACAGAAACCTTTTCTAGTGGAGTAAACAAAATTCAGCTGATCACTTTTGCTGCTGCAGGGTTCAACATCATTGGTTCCAAACTTTATCTGGCTGTCGTGTGGCAAGAGTGAAAATCAATCCCAGGAATGGCATTCTACTGTCCCTGTCTTGTTCTGCCCAAATTGCACTTAACGGTTTAAAGATGTGCTGCAGAATTTCTCGGTGATTTATTCCATCTTCTCCATTGTCAAAGCAGAACTTTTTCAATTCAGAAATCTGGTTGCAACCCCATAGTGAACTCTTGCTCCTTCGCTGCAGAAATTTGTTAGCTGGGGCTAGATTAGATTTTTAGCAGCTAATCTGACTGCTGTAGGGCTTTGCAGAGTGGGGACAGAGCTGTGCTATTGGATTTGTCCAATTCATTTGACTCCAGGACTATAATTGCACTTATGTCTTACAAGGCTTTTATGGCCTCGGGCTGGCGAGCAGCAGAAAAACAAATTGGCAGTGATACAGTGAGAGTGAAAGGGAATGAAAGGCACACATTATCAGTCTCCAGGCAGCCCTGCTCTGGCAGGAAGTTTCTCGGTTAATTTACAAATAAAACTTAGATTTTAGGATGGGCACACTGTCAGGCAGACAATGGGGATGTCAGGCCCCACTGTTACTTAGCAAAAGTAGCAGCCATGCCTCCCCAAAAGCAGGAATTCTTCAGTCAAACAGACGACTCCTCTCTGGAGCCAGCTGGCTGTGTAATGCAATTAGCAGGGAAAGGAGGTCAGGCCGAGGTGTGCACCGTGACCAGCGTCGGCGCCCTGGGCACCGGGCGTGCGGAGCCGGGAGCACTGCCCGTGCCCGGCACGGCCCGAGCGCGGGGACGGCGGGGGTCGGCGGGGGACTGACCCCACGGCGGGGGACTGACCCCACGGCGGGGGACTGACCCCACAGCGTGTCCAAGCACCTGCAGCCCAGAGCGTGTCCATCACACCCGTGTCGGCCAAACCGCCTCCCTGGGCAGGTGGAAAATGCGCGCTCTGCCCGTGCGCCCGAGAGGAGACACAGCTGCCATTTCCAGAGCTGTGATCGCTCCAGTCAGCACTGAACCGAACAGCTCCGAGCTGCTCCATTCTTGGGCTCTGCTTTTTAATATCTCTCTGATTTCCTGGCTGATTTGGTGGTTTTTTTAATGTATTCTTTTCCTGCCCCCCCCCACTCCTAAACCGCATGGAGAGCACAGCCTGGAGCTCTGGCTCCACGTGTGCTGGCTGTGGGGCTTTAGACCTTTCAGCACAAGTCATTCATGGCACTGACTGCCCCACAGCTGCTGTTTTGAATAAACAACACAGGAAAATAGCTGGCTTATTGTCACAGATAAGATTATTTATAATGACTTTTTATCAGTGAAATTATCTTTCAATAACAAACATTTTTGTTTAGTACTAGTTTTTCCTTTGTAACCTTATACCTTGTTGCTGCGACTCCTAAGGATGTGTGACTTCAAGGGCAGTAACTCAAGCTCTACGATGAGCTGCATGCACACAGTGGGGATCCTAGCAGAGGTGGGATTCATCATCACAGGACATTTGCAAGGGTTTGAGCTCACAGCCGTCACTCCCTGTCCCACACAAGCACAGCAAGCACCAGTTCAGCTGGTGCTTCTCCCTCTTCACTGAATTCTCTTCTCTAGGCGTGGAGTGGGACAGCCTGGCCAGGCACCCACATCCCCAGCATCTGGAACCCACTGTGCACAAAGTCTGGTCACTAGAAGGATTTTGGGGGTTTTTAACACTAAATTTGACATCTTGCTTCTAATCACTTTGGTACAGAAATCAGCAGTTTCTACTGATTTTTTACATGTAAGAAGCTCTAGTAATAGTACTGTTAATTGGTGGTTTTTACAAAACACGAAGAGTTCATGTTTTCTTCAAACAGAACTAAAATTATCTATTATTCATAGGTGTAAATAAAACACAGTTCTTTATCTTCAGTTTAATTTAAAATAAACTCTGAGAATCTCAGTCGTCCTGTGAGCTGAGCTTTACTTTACTGGAGTATGAACTGTAAGCCAAGTTCACAGTTGTGACTTTTTCATTCTCATAATGTGTTGGTTTTGCCACATTTCTGTCGTGACTGGGGTCCCTTTTGCCACCGATATGTAGGAGTGAAAGTTTTTCCTTCTAAAGGCACTGCCTGATTCTGAAGAGGGAAGCTTCGTTGGTGCATGGGCTGATCCAAGGCATGTTGGGGTAGCTCAGTTGTTATTTACCAATGAAAATCACCACTTTCTTATCCCTTTCTTCTTTCCCCCCACACAGAGTGAAGTAGCAGAGCTTCGTTTTGGCTTCTTTGTTCGGTCTATTGTGCACATTGTTCCAGGGGTAGCACCAAATTGTGGGGGTGGGGGTGTCTTTTAAGCTTTAAGTGGGACTTAAATTCTTTTTATGCGTTGGGCTGGCATTCTGCATGTGGATTACATTTTAACTTTAAAGCTTACAGTTGAAACCATTGTGTGAGGCTTGTACGTGATTGCCAAATAGTTTTTGCCATCTGTTAGATCACCTCCAGCTCCTCCAGTAGCAGAGCAAACACACACAGGCTCTCAGATGCATTTTGTATGTGTCACATGTAAATTTTAGCCATATTTTGTGCAACTCTGCTCCAAATAAAAAGGTAACTCCCACGGTATTTTCCATTCTTCTCTCACTCACATTGCCCAGATATTTTGCTGACGTTTCAAGCAGAAGCCCCTCCAGACACAGTGAGGAGATGTTTGTGGATAATAAATTCAGTTATAGTGGTTCACGATAGACAGTTTCTTGACATCCTGAGTCAAGGCATTTCATATTTCTGTGACAGCTGCCTCATTTTAGCTGGAATATGATGTTCTGTTGGGTAATGTTTTGTTCTAGTAATTCAGTTTTCCATCTTAAATCACTGTAGGTAATGTACATTTACATATCATGCTAATGGCTAGTTTGATAATGACTTAATTAAGCCATCAGACAACAATGTGTTGTGAATGAAGCAAATTATTGAGCTGATGCTTTCATGAGCAACTGGAGAAAAACAATATTTTAACTTTTTCTGTAATGAAATATTCCTACTATTGAGCATTGTAATTCAATTTGTGAGCCATGACCCCTCCTAAACCGTGGTTATCACTCGGATTAATAAAGAGCCAATTTGCTGTTGCAGCTTCGTCACTTGGGAAATGATGAGGTTCACATCGTCTGGTCTGAGCACACCCGCAACTACCGCAGGGGCATCATACCCACGGACTTCGGGGATGTTCTCATTGTCATCTACCCCATGAAGAATCACATGTTTTTCATAGAGATCATGAAGAAACCAGAGGTACGTTTGGGCTGCTTTGCTGGGCTTGTCATGTGTTGTGCAGTGACCAGCAGTTCTGCTGCTTAAATAAAGCTCAGTGCTTTCAAGTTCGGGGGTCATTTTTTCCCTGCAAGTATAAAATACAGTCTGTCCATCTCAGGCACAGAGCTGAGCATTGAGCTCGTACTTTAAAACTAGAATTACTAATGGTGATCCAAGTGCCTGCTCATTCATTTTATGGTCACAATTAGCGCTCACAGAAACGTGTCAGAATTCTCAACCCGTAGAAATCACCGTGCAAAGTGCAGTATTTAAAACCACTGTGCATTTGCAGCCTGAGGCAGTGAAAGCAAAACACTCGTGTGCTGTGGGGTCACCCCGTGTGTGGGGTCACCGTCCCACAGGTGGTGCTGTGCGTGCACCGGCAGGGTGATGCAGGCACTGGGTATCCTGACAGCAAACAAAATGTTGAAGGTTCACTATTTCATGGTTAAATCATCATTTGCAACCACATTTGAGATGTTTGGGGGGGGGGAAGGCATCTTTTTCAACATAGCAGGGGTGTGTGTATGTACATCTGTGCATAGGTATGAAAAAGCTGCTGCAGTAAATGCTTGTCTGGTACATTATGGACACAAAAATGTATATAAAATATACTTTGTGACAGTAATCAGTGTGATAAATACCGTTTCCCTTATATGATGGACAGTATTTCTCCAAGAGAGTAACCAGCTGTGGCAAATGCCTTCATCAGGTGACGTATTTACCAGCTGTAGACAGTATTTTTTGAGTTATGAATGATGGAGTTGTTAGATATTGACAACCAGTGGTTTGTCAGTAGATGTTTCAAACTTGAAAATTTTCTGAGAGTGGGGGATTTTTCCTTACATTTGCCGTTGAGCTCTGCAATTTACTTTTTGGGCATTTTATTTTCCCAGCAGAACATTAGGAGCTAAGAATTTAGTGTGAGGAACACGCTCGAGACTTCTCTGGAGCAACGGAGAAAAGCTGTGTCATCTTACATATTAGTCAAAAGCACCCGACGGGCAGCCAGAATAAGAGCTAACTGGAAATTTAGTGTTATCCCTACATTTAAAGTACAAACCATTACAATGTAATAAAATTAATCCAGACATTTCCAGGGCAAGTGTGGCTGACCTTTTGTTCACCAGCTACTGACCCCAGGGTGAATGAAAGAGGCTTGCAGAGAGAAATGTCTGTTGTTTGGCTTCAGTCCCTGGTATTTAAATTGCATTCCCTAATCGAATGAAAAGGCTGTCCTCTCTATCAGGTTACAGAATCCATGGCAACATTTGGCCTTTTATATCCATAATGTTAGCCTTTTTGTTTGCAGCCAAGTAGAGACACCTGGAGCAATGTTAACATTAACCGCTTTAGCATTAATAGCTTCATTATAGAAGAATTTCTGATCAGATAGCTGTTACTTTTGTTATGTTGCTTCAGCTTGTATTGTTTTCATTTTTGATCTCCCTGCTTGGCAACCGGGCAATGATTTGCAAATTTTTTTTGTCTTGATTAATTAAGCAATATAATTATCAGGAACCGTGCTGCAGTCTTTGCCCGACAAAGCTTCGGGGGGAAGACAATAGTAAGTCTGTTAGTGTGAATGCATTCCACGCGTCACAGATGCACGAGGATATTGGGAACAATGAGAGGAAAAGCTGCCTGCGAGAGGGGACAAAGCATGCCAGGCAGGCTCCGCACTGCACATACCGCCAGGGACATGCTGCGGGTTCCCTGGGACACAGATGCCTCGTTAGATTGCAGCTCGTCATCAGAGATTAATTCTCAGCCATTTGGTACAATAATTTACCCATTCCCCTCTCTTTTAACTAGTGCTGCTCGCCGTAGAGGGGAAGTCTTTGTGCTCGGAAGGTTTATTTAACCTTGCCTACTTTTACTGCAGGCAACAGAAATAATGATTTTTCTGTTGGAAATTGGAACGAAGCAGGTGTTTGCAGTGGGCTGAATATTAATTTTTGCTTCGTGGGTAACTCGCGGTGACATTTGGAGTACTCACAGGAGAGGATCTTTGCCTCTCCCCTTGTTTTTAATTGATTCCTGTCAAAGCAGCCTGTTTGTTATAACCATCCCAGCCCCGCTTTCCTCGGATGGTGTTTAATGCCGGGGCACGGAGCTGTGCCCAGCGGGGAACGTGCCCCGTGCGTTCCACTGGCCTCCCCCCAGAGCCCTGGCTAGGGCAGAGCCCCTGTACAGATGGGAGCTGACGAGATGCAGCTCCATTGACTTTAATGACCCTCGGCGAGGCCGCTGGATCTGCTCGGGAATGAATAATTCCCAGCTTTGTGTCCGCGTGGTCCGGCTGTGCCGCGCTCGCATCGCAGCGGGTCTGCGGAACCCTCAGCTCCTCTCTGCGTGTGGGGAGCATGTGCAGGGGAGTGTGTGTGTAACATGGACACACCTCATCCACAGTTTCTATCTATAAATTCGGTAGTGCTGTGGTAAGAAACTCTGCCCCGCTCCCCAACTCCAGGTGGGTCTGAAACAGGCACCAAGTCCTGTCAGCCTGTCCAAAAAGCCTGACAGGGAATTCCCCTATGCCGGTAGCATCTGCTGCTCTGACTTTACATATCTGGTATTTGGGTGGTGGTATAATTTTAATACTAGTATGTACTTAACCTCCTTATTTGTGCTTAAGAATATAGTTTTACATACTTTTCTCCTGTTGTCAATACTTCTAAACAGAGCATGGGGTAAAAATTTCACTTAGAAACTTGATGTTCCAGAACATTATAATTTCCTCTGTCTCCTTTCTTTTCAACTGCCTGGACAGTAATGCCAGCAGTAAATAAAAATCAAAGGCAAAACCACTATGGAAACATTTTACACTAATCTATTTTTGGGGGTGGGTAATTATTTTAAGTAAAGGAATGACAGAATAAGTGTGTGAAGAGACAGCTGTCATTTGCAGATGTTATATTAACCCCAAATTTCTTCTGTAATTCATTGCCACTTCTAATTAGAGGAATTCCCTAGATGCAGGGGATTTATACTATTCCCTTTGTCCATTTATTGAATGACTGTCACAGTCACCCACAAGCAGTTGCAGAAGAATAATAGAGGGTATTTATTTATGTGATAAGCCTCTGTACAGATGGAAAAAATCCATAGCTTAAATATTGATAATTTCTGCTGGCTTCTGTTTAGGGCTTTGGTTGGGGGTTGGTTTTTTTCATTTTGAGTTTGTGAAAGGGAAATGAGTTTGAATACTTGTAAGTCCTAAAATTGGTTATGTATTTAAACATCAACATTTTCTGGGTTTGGCTGGCCAGGTCTGTTATGTGTCTGCAATTGCAGACATGGTTGACTTTCAGAGAGCATCTCTGGTACTTGGTGTGGCCTTTCTCTGCAGAGCCCTGGGTCCCCTTGGGGCATCCTAACGAGAGTTCCTCTGGAGGTGACCTTGACAGGGCAGTGTTGGAGCACCTTGATGTGCTGGGCTGGGCCTGTTTGTGCCTGTCCCAGCTGTGTGTCCTGCCCCTCCGAGGGGGCCCTTCTCTGCCATCTCCTCTGCCTTCCACACACCTCCTTATCTTGGTCCAGCCTGAGGTTTTTTTCCTTTTCCACAAAGTCCATAGAAGGAGTTTATAGAGGATTATCTGAAGCAAATACGTCTTTGCAAAACCTCCTGCCAACGTTGGATTCAGCCAGTGAATCAGGGTGTTGTGTTGGGATCCCAGACAGGAAACAGTTCTTAGTATCTGCTCCCCATGGCATATCGCTTGCAAATTCATAGAGGGACTTGGTTCCCGTGTGAAACAAGCTCATGTTACCCAGCTGAATGTTCTGAGAGATGGATATCCATGTACAGCATGCTGAGGGCAGTGATGGAGGATTTGAAACTTCCAGACCTGGGGGATGAATGTCACACTGGAAGTTTCAGTGTGTGGAACAATGTGCTCAGAGTGGTTTATGGCAAAGTGCTGTACCTGTCTCCTGTGGTGGTTCTGAGGCCTGTTTCTCTGTTTTGGGTCCCCAGGTGCCGTTTTTCGGTCCTCTCTTCGATGGAGCGATCGTGACCGCGAAGCTGCTGCCGAGCCTGATCTGTGCCACGTGCATCAACGCCAGCAGAGCCGTCAAGTCACTCATCCCGCTCTACCAGAGCTTGTATCCTTTCTCCCAGGGGGCAAGGCTCCCCTTGGCAGGGTTCTTTCTTCAGAGCATCCTTCGGCAGAGAGGTAGGCTTGGATGAAAGTTCTTCCTCTGTGATTTTATTGGCAAGGGTCAATGCTTTCCTCGCATCCGGCTTGATGTTTTCAGTGGTTCACACCCAGTTGCCCAGTGTTTTAAAAATAAAATGGTAACATCCCAGGAGTGCTCTAACCAGCAGCTTCCATCTCACTGCTGGCAGACTGGACTTAGCACTGGTGCTTTGAGCTGTGAGTAATGATTGTTATCAGTTTTCCTTCACGCTGATGGACGTTACCGACTGTGTATGTCAGGCTGATGCACAGCTCCGCCGTGTTCTTACCCTGTTCAAAGTTCTAGTCCAGTTGACTTCACCTGGATTCATTACATTAGTAAGACAGGATACAGATGTTTCAGTTTCCAAATTGCGGTTTCATTCCAACCACGCCTGTATTTGGGCATTTTCAGAACCTGTTTTCCAGCAGTGACTGGAAGGTAACCAAGGGATATGCTCTCTGGGACAGGAGTTGTGACACAGGCTTTTATTCTTGGGTGCTGCACAGACCCACAGCATGAGCATTGGTTTTCACTCATTCTAGGATTTTCTCATAACGCCATCAGACATTTTATAGCTTGTTTTGCTAATCACATCACTTATCTCAGGACCAACACTCACTGCACTTTACTTTCTCTGGGGAGCTTTTGATTTGAGTATTTTTCTAACCACGTGACTTTGAGAAAGTGTTTGTCAGTGAAATGTTTTGATCTTTGAAAGAACATTAATGAATTAGTTTGAGATGCACATTTTTAAAACACAGGATATCCTCAAAGTACTAGCTGGTTTTTTTTTTAAAGACTAAATTTTAACGAGTATACTTTGCAAAAGTCATCATAAATTAAAAGTAGCCCTGTGGTTAAATAGATTTGTATTTTATTAACTGAATTGTGTGCTCATGGTAAAGCAAAGGCAGTTGGTGGCAGTTGTACAAACCGTGGCAGTGCCTGACAGGTGAGTCAGGAGTTGCTGGCTTTTCCGCTTCTGTTTCATGAGAGAAATGTAACAAATTCCTAAAACTGTTCTGTGCAGAATTCTGTGTGCTTCTCAGTCAGTGGATCGTACTGGAATACAGGGTAGCAAAACTAACACAGGTAGCAGCAGTTACGGTAACAGAGCAATTCCAGCCCCTCGCTCCCGGCTGGAGTCCTCTGGTTCTGACCCCGCTCAGCTCTGGGCTTTTCAGCACTTTGTGAGCAGGCAGAGCTCACCAGCTGGCCATGCTCCTGCTTTCCAAGGGGGTCTCCCTCGGGGTCCCTGCGTGTCCCCAGGGCGACACGAGCAGCACAGGCACAGCAGCACAGGGCACTGCTCCGCACAGGTTGGGAGCAGCATCTGTCCCTGCATTCTTTTCCGCCTTTTTTTGTGGCTGCTTGTGCACCAGTGATGTCTGTAGTGAATCAACTGCCACTTGTCTGTCTGATAAATGGAAGTGGATTGAGAAACTCCTGAAATAGGGACAAAGGGAATGTGGTGGGCAGATCCCATCACAATGACACTGGAGCAGGAGAGAAAGATATCCATAACTCATCCTACAGATAATGGTGCACTTTAAGATGTACTAAAATTCATAAAGATTCAGCAATTGGAATGTGAGCGTGTAGATGTGTAAAGGTGATGTCTGAGCCCAGTGGAGCCACATTGCTCCACAGCTTCTGAAGGGTGAGTGACTCCACTCCAGTGTTTGTTTTGCCAGCTGCTCTGAGGAGAACAGGAGGGAAACGAACACAGCAATGCAAACAGTAAATGAAAGTGCTTTTATCAGACTGGAGATGGAGATAACTCAAAAATGTCAATGGGAAGGAGAAATAAAAAGCAAAATGATCCTGGCAAAGTAAGGGGTGTTTGGTACACACCAGTTGTAACCGTGCAGTTGGGGTGAGCACTGAAGGCCGGAATGAGGCAGAGCTGAGGATGATTTGCCACTTCTCCTTGGCACCTGGGTTCTGTGTAAAGGCACCACCCACGCTAAGGGTCAGTAGCTAAAGGTGTTTTGATTCAAGTGCGGATAGAAATGGATCAAACCCTGGTGCCAAGGGTTCAACGGCAATACGGTGCTGAGTCCCTGGTGCTCATGCTGGAGCAGGGGCAGGGTGTGAAGTATCTGCTGGGACTCTGCTCCACGTGGAGCAGAGCCCTCTCATCCTCACTCCTGCCCTGTGCGGTGAAGGTGGCCATGGGGGGACAGGGACAATGGTGGTGGCCACAGGGACACCGGGCTCGTGTGGTGGCCACAGGGCGACAGGACGTGCTGCCGGCACGGGGTTGTGTGCTGGGGAGCTGGGGCAGCGCCCTGCCAGCAGTGGCAGCTGAAGTCACTTGTTGGAAAGTCTGTAAACTCCAGCTACAGCTGCACTTGTCAGGGGCTGTAAGGGAAGTGTAATCAGCCACAGAGATTAATTTGCATCTCAATTAGGAAAGAGTCAGGAGGAAGCACAGGGTCTGTTGCTGGAAGGTTGTGGAAGAAATCTCATCAGGCACAAAAGGCTCCCGACTCGGTGCTCCAGTGAGCGGAGGACAATATCCGAGTCCGGTTTCCATGGGGACCAGGACCGCAGAGCCGCGGGAGCATCTCGCTGCGCCACAATCGCTTGGTCATGATGACACAAATTCCACTGTCCTACCCAAATACAGTTTTCTGTTGGAAATCTCTTTGAAAATGAAGAAGGTAACTATGGCAGACCACATCAGACTTTTTCTGATCTATTTTTTATGTTTATGTAGCTGTTTCTGTTTTAAGGAATTCATTAGGGCAAGAGAAATATTCATTCAAAAATAATTAACTGTATTTAAACTTCAGTTTAAAGCCGTTCTGGCTGCAGGTTCTTTGTGTCCATCAAATGGCACGTGATGGCCCTGCGCGGGAGCCAGCCCAGGGTGGTGCAGGCACAGCTCAGTTGTCTTTGGAACAGTGAAAGCCCCCTGTGTCTGTAGCTGCTGCAGTGCTGCCATGGATGAGTGTCCATCAGTGTACGTTCAAAATTCCCGTGTTATTCCTCCTTGGTGCCGTGGAGCACTGAGGCTGAGCGGCTGCAGCCCCTGCTAATTGTGGCTCTTGCCATCCTTGAGTAACTGCTGAGCGTGAGGCAGTGTGTGCTCCAGCAGCCTCTCCAGGCTGCTTTTCTAGGCAGGAACTGTGACTTTAAATACGCCTGTGATTTACGGAAATCATGAGCAATAAGGTGACTTAAATTTTATAAGAACACGAAATAGTAATACTAAAATTGCTGTATAAAAAGGTAGATATCTCTGCAGGGTTTTGAGAGCATTCGAGCTTCCTTTTTATGTACTGGGGAAAGGAAGGAACAACTACTCACAAACAAAAAATTATATATCAAAACTAAGCGAGGGTCTGTTCAGGATCCAGAAATGCTGAATATTTCACAAACTGGTTGGAGTGGTGCTGTAAGGCTGCATCTCCAAGCTCTCTTGCAGCTTGTATGGAATGAGCTGTGTGCTGGACAGGGGCTTCGAACGCTTGTGTGATCTGGAGTGCATTGCCCTAAGCTGCAGAAGAACATGTCTCTGGGAGCTGAGCTTGTCTGTACAGATAAATACTGGGGGGAGTCAGGGTTTGGATTGAAGTATAGTGGGTCTGATGGACAGCTGCTGTCTGAGCTGACAGTTTCTGAGCTCAGGAGCTGGTAAACCTTCAAATACAAAAGTGCAACTAGTTTGGCAGGTGTCAGGCACTTTGGTTGGCCCATAATTTAATGCTTGTATCCAAAAAGACTGTGGGATTTGGAGATAGTGATGTCTGAGCAAAAAGCTCCCTTAGAATAATGCCCAGGGTGTTATTTCTATTATCTTACCGCTCTGGGTTTTTTTCCTCCACCAGTGCAGATAACTCTTGTACTCCCAGTCCTGCCTGGTCTCAGTAACTGAATTTGAAGGGAATTAGGAACAAATCCCAACCTGTCTGAAGTGTTACCTCAGCCTTGACCAGCTCTTTGTATGCTGCCTCGGGGAGGGTGGAACATGTCCCATGTGCCAGCACCAGTGGGCTTCTTCCCTGCATTCTTTGGGGATTCCTGGTGGTCTTTGAACTATTTCCTTTGCAATTAAAGCTACATATGTCTTCCTGTGAATGAGTAAATAGGGAGTTAGTTCCTGTTGGAGTTTATTAACACACTGAGTATAAAATTATTTCTGTAAACAATTCCACTTTTAGGATAAATTGCTTTGGTCTTATGGATAGAAAAGGGGTTTGATCTCATTCTGCCTGTTGATTTCTGCATGTTTTTTGTACTCTTCTCCAACACCTTGACTAGAGCACAGTGCTCCCCCCTCCAGGGGAGGAAGAAGTAGCTGATGGGGTAGGCATGGAGACCTGTGGCTGTCAGCCACAGCCCCTGCTGTTGAAACTGTCCACTTCAGGTGCTGTGCAGGTGTTCCTGGCAATAAAATCCTCACAGATCTGTGACATCAGCTGTGCCACTTCTGCCTTTTCAATTAATATAAATAGAATTATAGAGGGGCTGACCGAAAACCACCGTGGCAGTTTGTGGCCTGGTTTCTGGAGTTGTTCACATTACATGTTGTTCATTCAAAGAGAAAGCCTGAAGGTAAAGTTTGAATTTCTTTTTCAGTTTCTCATGTTTAGAGCACTTTGCTGTGACATAACACATCTGTGTGTCCAGCACTGGAGCTGTCTGTGCACTGGAACAAGCACAAACGAGCAGTGGGGATGAGAACACTTTACGGAATATCTGAGCACTGGATGTCACCATTTCCCTGCTCACAGTTTGCAATCCTGCTTGTGGGCCAGAGGAAAACATGGCCCTTACACTGGAGAAGTAATTTGATACATGAGTAACTTACCGTTTTTTCCACTGTAGTGACCGTGGTGTGCCTGCTGGCCTGTGCCAGCTAGCAGCTCAGTGGGCAAAGCCAAAACTCCATCTAAACATGGAACACAAAAAGA